CCCTAACCCTAACCCTAACCCTAACCCTAACCCTAACCCTAACCCTAACCCTAACCCTAACCCTAACCCTAACCCTAACCCTGGAGGGGAAAGTCTGTGGTACGAACCGTGATGAATGCAGAGAAACCTAGACTCCACTTGCGCTTTCTGTACATGGGTGCTAACAGTGCGCGCACCCGTAAGCAGTTCAATAACAATTCCAGTTGAATGCTTGCTAAATATGATCGGCCCAGCGATGGGCGCGGACATGCAACGATGCACCATGCAGGAGCGAGCATCCCTCTCTACCTGCCATCTATATGTTTCACGTAGTGCAGTGTATAAAGGCGCAGACCCTTTCATTTAAATGTTTAAAATCAAGAAAATAAATGTTACTTTCCATCTTACCATAATAAATTACCTCGATATATTTATAACAAAAACTGATCTATAATAGTTCCGTGGCTCCGAAAGCTTTAAACCGCCTTTATAAAAATAATTTAAAACGTTTACTTAATTTATAAATAATATAAATGTTTAAATTAATTAACCCAATTTACACGGAGTGAGGCATGTTGGCTGTCATGCTCGGCAGCAATGTCTTCGTTCTAGAAAGCCCGTGTGAGTTTATCACGCATGCGGCGGTCATATTTTCTTGTCACGAGGCTAACATAAATTTTCCCAGGTTGGCTTGTCCAAAAGAATAGGATCCCTAAAGCCGAGAAGGTCCTAGCATTCGCTTACAAAAATGTCAATGGCTACAACGTCAAGGAGCAGCTGTCCATCATCGTCGCCACCGTCGAGCGCCACCGCCTCATTAACGTTGAGGAGAAATCCCAGCTCAGGGAGATATTTACGGGCGTCAACCTTTAGCGTCTGCTGATCGCCTTCTGGCCCAAAGCCATGCAGCAGCTGGTTGGGCAAAGCTTGACCAACAACTACGGCACCTACTTCTTCCAATTGGCCGGAAACTCGGACCTGTTCACCGTCACGATGATCCTCGCCCTCTGCCAGCTTGCGGGTGTTATGGCCTGTGCATTATTATCAGACATTCGGTAAACGATGGTTCACCATTGGCATGTTCAGCTCAGCTGCCGTGGCTGTTCTCTGCATTGGTATTGTCGGTTGCTTCAATTACACTGGTAAAGAACTGGGTAGCTTGTTGGTATGGTTCCGTATTTGAAATCTCGTGTTATCTGGATACGTTAATAAGATTTCTCACTCTTTAGGTGTTCTTCGGCTGCCTGCCTAACTTCGGTTGCATCGGCGGCGCCGGCATCGCATACACCTACGTCGCTAAGATTCCCACCCAGCGCCTTCGTGCTCGAACCGGTTCCGTAGCTCTGATGGGTTCCTTTTTGCTCGGTATCATGTTCAACTACACTGTTCCCTTCATGCTCCAGGTATGGAACGTTGGGGCTGGGTTTTTGTAAGTCACCACGCAAATTTAGGCCTGATTAATGTACACAATGAGACTTGTACGACTAACAAACTTTGCTCGATCTCAGCTTTGGAACCGTCGGCATTCTATCTTGCGCTGTTGGCTGGTATATCCTGCCTGAGATGGCCCGCCGAACCCCGGCCAAGATCGATGAGATGTTTCAAGATAAGATCAAGCCGAGAGCTTTCCGCAATCATGTCACGCAGGTCCAGATTTACCTTTAAAAGAAAGAAGAAAAGGAGATGCCAAGATAAAAAAAAACGTCGGGTAAAGTTTTAATATATTAAAATTAATCGTTAAAAAAGAAAATTTGTTATTACATTTATTTTAAATCTTTTATAAATTACATCTATTAAATATGTTTTATTTATAAACCCCGTTAATTATTCTTTACACATCGGCGCATTATATACCTGGCCATCTTGATTATAAGCCCGAGCCCTTAATAATCATGTTGGGTGCTTGATGCGTTGTGGAAGAGGACTTGACCACGATCTGTATCTTGTCGTGACTCAGGGTCGCCCTTGTCACGTTCGGCAAGCACGCAATAGATATCTGCGAATGGAGGCAGCCAGGCTCTTTCATCTTGAGTTGATCAAGAGGGTCGACACTCTCGTATAATAAGGCCACAGAGACGAGGGGAAGGTCCATCTGCTCGATCAGGGTGTCGCCATCGACACTTTCATCAGAGGAATCCTGCTAGAGTTTACCACCTGTCGCGGCAGACTCGGCGCGTATTTGGTGTCGAATATTCCTAGTGAATGACCAGCTTCAATCTGGCGCCGGGTCAAGTAATCCACTATCGGGCTGTGAAGTTGACTGGGATTAGGTCCCCCAATACCTTGTTGTGAAACATGCGGCTATGGATCACAAAAGCGGCAGTCCATTCTACATGTGACTCATTCAGCTAATGACATAACGGGAGGGGAGCTCGGTGGGTTTCCCCGTTGTCAAACAGGGCAGTGTGCTCAAATTAACACGTTGAAGCTTGTTGAAACTCGTTATGAAGCATGCAAACCGAGAGACTAATAAAAGGCTTGTTCTCGCCTTGATGTTCGGCTCTAGCGTATTGTCTTGCCAAGCTTTGGTGAGAGCTTTCCCTATATAGGCAGCCAAGACACTAGCGTAAGCGGGTAGATTGCCACTAGACCTTCGAAGTCTACTATGCATCCCCGATTAGCACCGAGTCAGTAAAGATACTGACTTCAGCGGAATAAATGTCCACATTAAGTTTTGACAGCCAATTGGATCGAACGTGTCTGCGTCCGAGTTATGATTAGGTATCAAGGAAATCCTCGATTGCCTTCTAGTCTCCATCATCTTGCTTCTTTCTTGGAATATGCTTACAAACATTGATGTGACAAATCACGGTCTTGTCAAGATTTTCCAAGCTCTTGGGTAACAGATAAGCTCACATATCCATGAGGCTCGTCCCTGGAACTTGCAACTACTACCATCACCTATTTGTGTGCCTCCAGTAGGCATCAAGAAGTCTACGTGTGTCAACCAATTCAATTCGACCGAATGAAGTCTCATACTCCAAGCGCCACGTCTGGGATGCCACCCTTTTCGCTAAAGGGCGGACGTCCTGATGCCTCAGATACATCCGGCCAGGCTCCAGTTACAAGTACAATAGCACCCCGCGCTGGGGAGAGCGAAACAATCGAACCCCCAAGCGAGGAATCATTGGATGCACGAATCGAACGTCTTGGTCGTGCACGTCCTCCCACCTTCACAACCCGTTGAAGCGAAGTGTCTTTCGTTTTCAGCATCGCCATGTCTCAATTTTTGACAGAGTTCTTCGTATCAGGCTTCACCGTTATCCTCCCCACTCTGATAAGAGAGCTTGACATCCCCCAGGCGTCCAGCGTATGGCCTGCTACCGCATTTTCCCTCGTCATCGCCGGCACCCTACTTATATTCGGCCGCCTTGGTGATATATGGGGAGGCTACCCTGTATTCTTGTGGGGACTTTCATGGCTTCTTATCTGGAGTATAATCGCAGGGTTCAGCATCAATCCGCTGATGCTAGATTTGTGCCGGGCTCTGCAAGGGTTGGGAGCCGCTGCCTTCCTCCCTACAGGCGTCATGCTTATGGGCTCAATCTATCGGCCCGGACAGCGCAAGAATCTCGTCTTCGCAATATATGGTACCTCGGCAGTCTTCGGCTTCTTCGGTGGTATTCTGGTCGCGGGTATTGTTGGTCAGTTCCTGCGCTGGGGTTTTTACTTCTGGATCGGAGCTATCCTAACGGCCATTACGCTGTTAACCTCGATATATTCGATCCCCAATCAGAGGTCAGAGAAGCAGTCTCCAAGCAACATCAAAATGGACTACCCCGGCGCGATTACCATTGTGATCGGACTTACACTTACCGTCTTCGCGATTACCCAGTCCGCGCACGCTCCGTTGGGGTGGAAAACGCCATACATCCCCGTGTGCTTCACTGTGGGTATACTCTCCCTCTTCGCCGCTGCCTACATAGAGACGTACATTGCCCCTGACCCCCTGCTACCCGCATCAATATTCGCCACTCCCGCCATGACACCTCTTCTCTTTGGTCTGTTTTTGCTCTACGGCACCTGGGGTATTTTCTCCGTCTACGGAACACTCTACTTTCAAAACATTATGCTGGCCACTCCTCTTCAAGTTGTCGCGTGGTACACGCCCCTTGGGGTAGCGGGACTTCTTTTCAGTATCCTCGAGGGTTACATTCTCCACTTGGTCCCCGGGAGAGTTCTCCTAGTGATTTCTGGCCTGGGCGCAGTCGGGTCACAACTGCTCCTTGCGCTTATTCCGCTTCAGGAACGCAATTACTGGAAATGGATATTCCCGGCAACAATCCTCAGCACCATTGGGATCGATATCTCTACCATCTTGATGACAGTCTTTGTTACTACCACCTTTCCCATCTCACAACAAGGGTTGGCGGGGGGTGTGATCAACTCTGTGTTACAGCTAGGTGTAGCAGTTTCTCTCGGGCTCACGGATATTATACAGACGGCGACGGTTGAGGACATGGGATTAGGAATGAGCTACAAAACCACTTTCTGGTTCGGCCTTGGTGCGGGAGCGTTGGGATTGGTGGTGATGGCAACGTGGGGAAGGGTGCCAAAGGCGACGAGCGACTTGACAGCGGATGAGAAGAAGGAACTCATGCGGGAGGCGACGGGGGAGTACCACGCACGGGACTTGGACGGAGGATGTGTTGTGACGGGGGCATGAAGAATCTGTCCTTCACTTTGTCACTTATAAACGATGCGCATGGGACAGCCTTATGAGTGAATGCATGGGCGACACTGATACAGAACTGTGTCCCTCACGCCCGTTATCTTGATTCAGAAGAGCCGAACAGATTGTGAGCAGCCGATACCCGACAGCACTAAGGAACGAGTATAACAATGACAGCATTCAGTTGCCCCCCTGCGCTAGTCTAGTGCAAAAGTCCAAGTCGCCTTTGAATGGACAATCAATCCAACTTGTTGAAGCGGGAGGTATCTGCAACGGTCAAAGAGTCGCCGCTTCCTTCATATATAAAGGGTCTGCTGCCTGGATCGTACGGGGTTCGTCGCTGCAAAAAAGTCTGGTGCTCTTCAAGAATTCAAGCGAGTGTAAGTTGTGCCCCATCAACCCCTAGTCTTCATATCACCTGAACTTTCACCTCAGTGTTATCGAGGCAGGTTTGGATAGTACTATCAGGGCATCCATCTAGACGGGGCCGCCATTGCGCGCAGCTGCTACCTGCTACCTACGATCGTAAGGGTGCGCTCCAGGAGATGTTATCCAAAGGCATTGTATCTATAAAGCACGAGGTTGCTGTACCTCGCAACGTTGGTGGTCTGCCACGAGATATTACTAAGCAGTCGGCGATGCGGTGCGTTGACAGTTTTTTCTCGCTGAACACGTTTTCCTCTCAATACCAGGCCCATAGGCATGGCATAAGGGCTCATGCATAAGGAGGGACAGTCTACGGCTAAATCCTCGAAGATATGGTGGAGGAAGCAGTCAAGTCTCCTATCGGTGGGAGTGCTGTTCTGGTCAAATCAGACTGCAGATAGTGGCGTGAGGATTGTTATCGCTAACCCACGTAGGCAAGCAATCGTTGGCAAGGAAAGACAGTGAATGTTCTGCGAAAGAGAGTACTTATCGCCACGATCGTCGGAATCTATAGGGCGCCATGAAGCTACCAGCCCCCGTACATGTAGAATCTGACATGTTAGGGAATGGTCTCGACAAGAATTATCTCTCCGAATACCTAGAAATGCATCGAGTGGTGTGAATCGAAATGTTAAGCTAATTTGCGTGAATACGTATTGACAAGTTGAAGCGGATGATGCGTAAAGAATTTATCACACTTTGAGTGTACATGTTCTATCGTTGTTGTTCAGTTGGCCGGTGCATGATATTGACCACAGGTACTGTAAACATTATTATTTATCCGAGTCTAGTTCGGAGCCACCATAAAATGAGCAAATATCCAACTAAATTGATCGAAAAAAGTAGAATTGAGTTCAATCTTCGAAATATCTGCCTACATCAAAAATGAAAGCTATATTGCTCCTCTAACAACTTGACCCACATTACGTACACTACTCCAACATTTTTGACACGATCTTCTCTGCCAATGCCAATATGGTAGTGGCATTCATAATGCCTAGAGTGCTCAGGGCAACATCGAGCTTGTGACGCACCCAATTCCGCAGCTCCACGCCCGACAATGAGTCCAGTCCAGTTCGCACGATATGGGCGACTCGCCGGGTACCACGGCCTCGCCCAGACCCAAGATACGCGCAAACTGCAAGAAAATTACTTTATTGTACGCTTTGTTTGAGGCAGCTACATCCGCACTCGACTTGTGCAACGACTGAAACGCTCGGACGCCCTGGTCAATGTCGTCGCCGCTCTGGCGTCCAGCACCACGGAAGGACTACAGATGGCTAAAGCGGTGGTCGGGCGAAGTACCGGATCCGTATTGCGGATATGGGTATGCAATACCCGTGAGCAGTTGCGACCTGGTTTCCTTGTTGAGGGGAGTGTGTGGATTCTGCTGGAAGATGGGGATCCAGTGGCCTCTGTTGATCTTGGCGTCAAGGCCAGCCTCGTCCTCTGCAACATAACCTAACACACTTCTGGGGCAACCCTCCTGCGCCGTTCAAACGCGAAGTTGTCTCGTAATTCCACAGGCAGGCATATGAGGTTGTTTATTTGTTTAGTCCATCAAATCAGAGGATCACGAAATGCTATGTCGCGCTCAAGTGAAATGGAGGCTAGGGCTGCTGCGAGAGAATTTAGAAAATTAACTTGCGGGTAGACGAGGTAGTTGGCAATCTAGTATATCCTTCATTCAATGCTAAGCCAATGGGTTGAGATGGTCTCTTCTAGGACTGAGGCGACGTCTTGCAGTTTACCCCTCAGTGGGACTAGACGTGGCCCAGCGCTAGAATATTTGGCTCCACCGAACGGCGACCAAGCAGAACCTCAATCCTCTGCTCAATTCAACCTACCCAGATGAGGATGATTGGCCTAACTGGGGCGCCGATAATTGACCTCACGCACACGTTGGATGATGATGTCCATGTTTATCCCGGTGATCCATCCTTTCATTGCCGTCAAGCGTGTACGATCCCCGAGTCAGGATGGGCTGTCAGCCAACTATCGTTTTCTTCTCACGTTGGAACCCATATAGATGCACCATCCCACCGAATCAGCGGAGCGCAGACTGTTGAATCTCTTCCACTAGAGACATTCGTACGTCCCGTGCTGGTGATTGATGTGTCAAACAAGTCCGCTTCCGCTGGCATCAACTTGTCGGACCTTGCACCGTATGAATCTCGCATTGAGGAAGGAATGGCGGTCCTCTTCCGCACAGGCTGGGACAGATACTGGGGCGATAAGGAAGGCCGATATTTTCAACACCCATATATCAAGCGAGAAGTGGCGGAACGAATTGTGGAACTCGGTGTGACTGTTCTCGGGGTTGATACCATGAGTCCCGATCCGATTTCAGATGCTACACAGAGTACAGTAGATGCACACGATATCGTGTTGGGGGCTGGGAGAATCATTGCTGAGAACTTAGCAAACTTAAAAGCCTTGCAAGATATTCAAGACAGTCATGTAGGATCTAGGATCATGATCTGTCTGGCCCCTCTGAAGTTGCGTGGATGCGATGGGTCACCAGTAAGGGCATTTGGCTGGGTAGAGCAAGCTGGTACGTAAGGTTTGGAGGTGTAGTTCCCGATACGCGGGGTCTGGTTCTTAACTGTCGTATTAGAGAGCTTCATGATGAACTCTGGGAGAATCTTCCCTTCAAATACAACCAGACCAGAGGTCGAGAAGCCATCTATATCATTGTCGCCAGCTCTCTCATGCCACACACCAGGTCTGAATGCGCAAGACGGTGAACTACGAGTTTCAACGTGAGGAAGTTTTTACCTGTATCACTGCACTACTACAGACTTATTAGTATCTGAGTACTCTAGACAACCATATAGCCTGCGATACCTGCCCCAGACTACCCTAGTCTGTACCTTAGTATCTAAATATCAACGACATCGTCTTAATATCCGGCTGGTTCATGGTCCATCGACATTGGCAGAGCACCAAGGTTTGATTTACACGCCTGTTTCCAACTTTTGGGAGTAAACCTGTCTACGATAGACTTGAAGGCCGACTAATAACAACAAAATAAATTTTAGTCCAAGATGAGCACAGTGCGGCCTCATGGTTTTAATCGGGGATACTTACCAACGTGCAAAGACTTACGTCTCCATCAAAATGCTTCCCAGGTACTCGACATCCAGGGATTGTCATGATGCGGTCATTATATTTGACTCTTACGAAGTACTCGTCGAGTGTCTGCTCCTCGTTCGTTGTACATTTCGTGACTGGCCGTTGCCCAATGCCTTGCAGTTTGCTCAGGCCCCCTTGGTCGGCAATTGAAGTCAAGCTGGTGTTTGCGTTCCTCGGCAGACAATTCCGCTTATCTTCTTTCAAGTCTGAGTCGCCAGGTGTTCTCTTGCTGAACAGTTCAAAAATGATATGGCTGGTGAATGGTGGCCATTGTTCACTGTCTCCAAGGCAACCAAGACTCGCTAGCACTACGCCAATGGTGCGATCATGACAACCTAAGAGCGATAACTTGGGAGGTCCGCCTGATCGCATTGCAGTGCCTCCTAGCGTGTCGCACTTCATTCTCCACTCTACTTGGTCAACCATCTTGAGGACTATGTCTCCCATTAGTTGACCTACGCCAAGAATCCGCAGTTCGCGAGAAAGACCATAACCACGAAACTGCTCATCAATCACAATTCTATCAATTACCTCACGCACACGTTCGTCGTAGAATTCATCGGGAAGCCGAGTGCTGGGTCCATGGGCACGTGTTGCATTAATGGTGTCCATGAGAGCTGATAACGTCGGGCGGGAGTCCAAAGTCAATGCTTTGTTGCCAGGCATCCATTTACCCAGCTTTTTAGATAGATATCTCATGTCGTCGCTCTGATTCCACCTATTTGCAGCATCCCGAGCAAATGCTCTAGTAAGCTCGGCTAGCCTGGCACAGGATTTTGTGTTTGGCAGTAGCGTCTCATCTGCTCTGGAGCGCATAGCAACAGTCCAAGGAGTTGACGTATGGTTTGACTCCGAAGGATAAAGGCCGTGCAATATCTGCTGCACTGATTCGACTACTCGTGGTACCTCCGTCGTCCGAACATAAAGGATGCTGGCATCTGAGAGATTCTGCGGCAACTTTGAATCATTAACTGTTTTCCCGTTAAACGTATGGGTTTGTTGGGGGCGATACCAAGCTTAGCTGATTAATATATCTCTGGCGCAGCCATTCGCCAAAGCCGAGAGAGGTTTCCCGTCCTCTGTCAGTAAGCTCCCCCGGCATGCTATGGCCTGCTGTTAGGAAATGTGCTGTGGCATCATGCCGGCAGCTGGCGAGCTTCACGTACCAGATACCCTTCGTCCCACCAGCTTCTCCCCGTGCGACAATCGATCTCCCATCGGGCCCAGTTGTTTCCAGACACCTCCTCCAAGTCATAGATTCCCATCTTGAGCCATCCCTATTAGCCATGACTACCTGAGTGAACCTCTGAGCCGCGCTACAGTACGGCCAATCTGCTTTAGTGAGAAAACAGTCCAAACCATGCTTTGGCTTCCTTAACTCACAGGATGATAATCCAGTCTGGCATGGGTGCGAAGTCAGCACAGCAGCGAAGGGATTCTCATCCACCCCCAACTTACATTTTGAAAGCGGGGCCATATTGGAGTACGTTCACCATGGCGGACAAGCTGGCTCATCAGTGCGATTAGTGCTAAGCGGCATGCGGATTGAGAGGAGTAGACAAGCTGGCATCTGGGAGTACGAACAATCTGTACTTGCTCAACATTCAGTCCGTCTGGACACACTGGACCTATTGTTTGGCCAGGGATGGATAGCATATTGATGATGATATGAGAATGGTTTCAAACAGATAGATCAGTGGGCATTGGATCGTTCAGCCGTTCAGATTGGTAGTCAAGCGGTGTGAAGAGAGCAGTGCTTTAATCCTGTAACAGTCACGTGAAATCCCGCTCACATGTTGGTTGGTGCACGGCCCCCAAATATGATCAGGTTGTCAGGAGCAAAGGTACTCGCTGTTGGATCTCTCCTCAGCATAACAACCAGGTCACGTTACCGAGTGCTCTCACAACTTAGAAGATCTCTAGAGGGCTGATGTTTTATGAGTCTTAGAATCATCAGGCATCATTTGCAGTGAGGCTGCGTGCTTGCCGCTTGCGGCTGATCACTTGACAACCGCTTGCGGTTCCGGATTACCTGAGCTTCCAACATCCAACATTTTCGCGGAATTTCAAAAGGATGAGTCTGGATAGATGGGCATCTCAATTCATGTTGGTTGTGCACCAACTAGTGTAGCTAACCAAGGTGAAATGGGCGAGGAGTATAAGAAGGTCACCAAGTTCTCAATCTTTCTCAGTGCTATCATGCATGTTCGTTAAAAGTTCAGATTGATAATCTACTACATGATTAAGTTGTATTTCTGAAAGTTTAGTTGTTATTTTCACAGACGGATCGTAATCATGGTTACCACTACCATCACCCGGGTCCAACCTGCACTCGCTTTCTGCGAAAAGCTGGACTCCACTAAAAATCATTATATTGAGACGGGGACGTCAGACCGTCTTCCAAGCGTCTTCGAGTGCACGGTTCATCTTGAGTTGCTTGACGCCATTGTACGAGTGGAGGGCGAGGTCGCCGAATGGGGACAGGAGGAGGGTCTTTCTGAGGGAGTCGCGTGGGATATGTATTGCTCCGCTGCTGCGTCAAGATTTATCAAGTGGTCGCAAACTGCTGAAGCTAACGAGGAGGCTACTCCGCCACTGGATATTTTTATTGTCTGGCATGCATATATGCTAAATACGAATGCGTACAGACAGTACGCAAAGCAAGTCTTCAAGGCTCGTATAGGCCGCGAGGGTATCGACTGGGCTGCCGTGGTCAGTTTTAATCTCCACTTCTGAATCTTGCCTATAAACGCAAATTATAACTCATGAAAACAGCACGATCGGATCGATGAGGATAACCAATTCAAAATGTCTGCAGACGAAGCAGCCCCTACAAAGCAGTCACCACTGTCAGTCGACCTCCTGAGCGTCCTCAAAAATGGAGAGATCAAGGTCGAAGACGTTAAGCCCTCTCCATCTGCCAGTTTTGACATGGTCGCCGCGGTCAAGCGACAACTGAAATTTGCTCATAAGATGCACGAGGCTAGGTGGCTGCGCAGTCCGTTTGCTGGAAAGATTCTCAAGAACGCGATCGATCGTTATGAGAAGTTCTTCACTCTCATTGCTGAGTATCCTTACAGTTCTCTTTCGCCAACGCCAGATATCGACCTTGTCTGGCACACGCACCAGCTATCGCCAAAGCGCTATGGCTTATACTCAGTTATGAAGGCCAACGGTAGGTTCGTCAATCACAACGATGACGTAGCCAAGGCCATCTTGAAGGGGTCATTCGACTTTACTACAAAGCTCTTCCGCGACCGCTTTGGTAGTAAATATCAGGTCTGCTATTGCGAGAGCTGCATGGCATCGGATACCACTAGCGTTCATGCGCGCCATGTTGAGTCTTCAGAATGCAGTGGGGATTCTTGCATTCCTCAAACCTGTACCGAAAGCTGCAAATCTGAATGCAGCGGCGATAGCTGCAGCAACCAAGACCTTTAAGGGTTGCTTTGAAATTGGCTCTCTTTCGTTTGTCTAGGTATTATTTGCTAGGTGTTTTACTTGGTGCTTTCATTGATTAGGTTTGCGTAATGGCGTTGATTTTGAATCTCTTTATTTAGTTTTAAGGTGGGATTTCCAGTCATACGGTTACGTTTGAGTAATCCTTTTCTTATGCTACTTAGTCGCTCATTTATAATTGCTACATATTCTTACAGCACTTCTTCGGCTGCTTAACTTCACGGGTGATAGCGTAAGCCTCGTCCTGCAGCTGCTTGAGACCGGCAGTCTGTTATGTGGCTTTAGGGCTTACATTCGGCTAGTGCGATGTCCTCAAGATGTGGAAATTGTCGATGGCATCGCTGCGTTGCGTGATGTCTACGAACGCACCAAAATTGCGACAGTCATTGATTGGAGAGTCGATTTGCAGTCTAAGGCGAATCCATTTGGCGCAGTATCGAGCGCATGGCTTCATATTCGGGCGCCGGTAGTTCCTCTATCCCAGTAGAAACAGAGGAGCTCGGTGATGCGGAGGCTTCCATCAGGTCGGAGCGGTCCGGGCTGCCACTGAGAGTCTTTGTGAGAACGGCACACGCAGACGACCCGAAAGACTGCACTCCCATCACCCTCGATCATGAAGACATTCAGAGGTCTAGAGCTTGGAAGACTATGGGACTCAAGTGCATGCTGCTGCTTGGCACTGAGTCAGATAGCCACAGCTAGGAAGGCACAGGAACCAAAACTGAGGATGAGGCATTTGCACAATGCCTAGTAGTCGTTGATGCAGACGATTCATCTTCAAACCGAATGAAACGAATTGGATGGATGTTTCTATCAAATAAGGAGAGCAAGCGATTTTAAGAACATCAAGCTATCTAGCACCTGATCTACTTGGTCTGAGGCTGGCAAGACAATCCATAGATAGGTTAATTGATTTTATTACGCATCCGGATAACTAGGGCAACGTGGGGGCTTCCATCGTTTCTCATCGATACAAACTATTTAGTTGAGACCTTTTACGCAGGATGGGCTTGTCATGTATATAACAAATGTATCAAACAATAAATAAACCACACTCAACCTCTAGTGTACTTTGAAGTCAACGAATCCTCAGACCTCAAAACTGGTGTGGCAGTTGGTGAAGCAAGTGTCCAGCTTCAACAGACATTGTCTGTCACTTCCGCCAAACAGACCGAGCGAACAACAGAGACGTGAGGGGGGAGTCTGACACAAAGACACAGGCCAAAATATATTGCTCAGTCACCTCCGCCAGACCTGAAGCACTGCTCATTGCTTTCGACTGCGAAAGGTGGTGTCCTCCGGTTTAGCAGACATCTGGCAATATGCTCGTTATTGACCAACATATCCTTGACTCTCTACTCTTTACATGTTCCTTGTTCTCCCTTGAGCTTCTTGATTCTGAGCTTCTTTGCAGGCGATCCGGAATAGGTCTCAATTCACAGCCCACCGGAGAATACTTGCGCTCCATAACAGCGCATGTGGTTCCCCACACCTACTGCCGAAACACGGCTCTAACTGTATCCGATATCTATCTTACGTCACGCTAGGAAAACCCCACGACATTGCAAATGCAGCATCGGACATGAGCCATCGCCACCAAGGGAATTGTACGCACTGCCTAGTAGGTCATCAGACATCATCGTTACTGTTTCACTTGCGCCCTAGGACATAAACATGGCAGGGGAGAAGCGAGGGGCATCGACCCCGCTCCTGGGCCTTCCTGACGAACTCCTCGAGGGCATTGTCCAATATCTCGGACCCCACGACACGTATACATTTGCCTGCTCTTGCAGGCGGATGAACAAGGTCACATCGTCGTCCTTGATATGGAGAAGGCACTGCCTTGAAACATGGCGCCATTGGGATACCAAGCGCGACCTGGCGGCGCTAATAGCTCAGCCGCCGACAGAGACGCAATGGCGCCAGTTATATAGCGAGCGAGCACGCAACGATCGTGAAATATCCGCCTTTTTCAACGAGATGCTTTCGACTCAGAAAGATCGGTATCATCGCATCGAGCGTATAGCAAGTTATAACGAAGATGTCGTTGATCTTCTCAATGATCTACTGGACAACACGCCCGAAGATGCCCATGATGTACTGGCGCGACGATATCATGCTGGCACGGTCATTGCATCTATCAACCGATCAAAAGCCGTCGAGACCTGGCTTAGCATTGAAGCTGGAATGTCAGTTGAACTGGAAGACGCGCTAGGTGCATATGAGTTGTTTGTGTTACCAGATTCAAGTCAAGGCTGTGGATATCTCAAGGCAGAGCTCGACCAAATCGCCCAGCGCATCCGGATATGTCACCCAGGAATGGAAGCATGGTCCACTCGGCAGAAGGCGCTGGCGATAGCGCGATATCTACGCTGTGAGAATATAGTCGGCATGCTCAACGAAGGACAGTATCATGCGTTGCAGAACAACTACCTGAGCACCGCTTTCAAAGAGCACTCCTCGCTCCCATTGCAATCAGTTGCTCTGTACTGTGCCGTAGCCAGAAGATTGGGTGTTGACGCAAGTCCTTCCAATTATCCTCAACGCGTCCATGCTGTCGTCAGCGAAAGCTCTAACCGGACCATCGACGCCGCAGAGAGCACAGCAACTGCGGAGTGGACTCCCGAGCGTATTTACCTGGATCCTTGGGGCTCGGACGAAGAGGTATCAGAAGATCATCTCCGAACTAGGCTCGCGCAAATGGGCATTCCCCTCCATGAACATGACGATTACCTTGGTCCGGCTTCCGTTATTGAAATGACACGGCGTACCGCACGCAACATTATGGTGTCTGTGGAGGAAGCCCGCCATCGTCCAGCATCGCAAGTATCTCATTTGGATATCGAGGCAGCTTGGTATAGCATGCTTTGGGTTATGGTCATTCTGGGGTATGGGGATGATGCCACGGCTGGAGCTCGCCGTCGACAGTTTATTCCGTACCTCATTGAGCACTTCCAGACACATTTCCCGGAGGATCTCGGCCTGCTTGAGAAGCTGCCAGCTCTTTTCGAGGGTCAAGGGGAACACCAGCCGCTACTCGATATGATCGTAGCATCACGCAACTCGGACTGTGCGGAGAGAGTTGCAAGGCCCCGAAGCGCTCCTAACGCTGGTGTGATGTACAAGATTGGACATTACTTTAGACACAAACGCTATAGTTATGAGGGATTCATTGTCGGGTGGGATGCTCACTGCAATGCGGGTCCGCGATGGATTGCGCAGATGCGGGTTGACGACTTACCTCGCGGGCGGGAGCAGCCATTCTATAATATCGTGTAGGTGATAGCCTTGCATTATCTAACCTGTATACTGATCATTGGTCTAGCGCTGACGATAAGAGCACACGATACGTGGCGGAAGAGAACATAGAGCTCATTCAGGTCAAACCCTCAGGGGTGTTGATGGACCTGGCAGGGAGATACTTTAAGCGCTGGGAAGACTCTACACAGAAATTCGAGAGCAACATTCGCGACGAGTACCCGGATGACTAGCCACTGGATAGCGAGCCCTGTACCTGAGTTTAAGTTGGCTAAACGCAGGCGAGAGGCTGGCAGCGTCAGCTTCATTCATAAGCTCAGCTCATCTGCGGTGACAACAGGGCCTGCAGCAGTTCGTAGTTGTTTTATGATCCTCGTAAAAGTACTCACCATAGGTTCTATCACTGACATAACAAGTAATCCAACCCTCTATGGAAATCTTCACAAACCAGTAGGCAGTGAATTGACCAAGTAGATGTTGAGTAGTTGTGCGTTCTCGGGGCCCGATGTATGAATCCTGCCTTTGTACTTCATTAGGACTACACTGTAGGTCAAGCACGGTACTCGAAATGGCGTGCTGCAACCATTAATGGTGGGCTACTCGACTATGCTCCAATATCAAAGGGCACCCAGAGCTCCAAAGTCTCGCAGTTAACAACATGCCGGCGTTCCCGGATATACCACTCAAGTCCTTGGGTCCGCGGTGACCTTGGCTCTTCTTTATTGCGCGATATGTTCCCATCTCAGAGAGACAAGACGTGACGGCTACGACTGAACTTAGTGTCCGTCTTATAGCTGGATGATATTGAAGCGCGGCTCATAGGGCGGAGCATGAGTGTGCAGGTCATCGAGAAGAGTAGGTGGGTAGAACGAGTAATGCACGCGAGAGACTGCAGCCATCCCTGTGGGGAAATGATATGGTCGGCGATGCCCCGACTCTTATCACAGTGCGTTCGTTCTGTACATAGGTAGTACCTACATGTACATGGAGGCGGGATAAGCTACTGATCGATTTGGCATGCAGAGTCGGTAGTAAATGCCAATTGTATTAAGGTCAACATGTGCTTTCTTTTGCGAGCCACCGTATTGGTCGGATTGCGATCCGAGATCATACGTGTCTTATGAATAGACGTCTTTGAAGGTCGGAAGCGGGAAGTATGTACGAAGTTTGTTAGTCAAGTTGGTATCAGCCACGGATCATTTGATTCATTTGATTAGCGGATCGGACTCGACAAGCCAATGGTAGTGACCCCAGTGACCCCAAAACACGTAAAAGTTCAGGCAGGATTGGCTGGTCCGGGTGCATTAAGCCCCTTGTAGCCGCGACAACCCAGCCGCAACCTCCGCGAACGGCCAGAAACACAGCAGGTCACACGGTACTGTACGACGCCGCGCGCGTCCCAGTTTCATTTCGGCGGACAGCACGTACAGAACAGGCATGTCCCATCTGCATAACTACGTAGCTACCTTATCGCACATGAAAGGGGCTTTCAGTCTTTTGGTCCTGGCCTCCCTCCACTCACCCTATCATGTTCTGCCTCGAGCGCCATGGCTCTGCTGAAGCCAATTGCTCACCCTCGAACGCTGGCCATTACGGTAAACTGACGACGATACGGACTACATATCTAGCTTGAGCGGGCGAAGTCCGAAAATTTCCCCGGCACATCACTTACAAGACCAACAGAGTCAGTAGCGACATCGTACGCGAGCCCACGCTGGCGAACGACTTGCTCAACTTCCGATTGATATCTCTGCTGGCTTCGTCTGCCAGATAGGGAGATTATGCCAACCAAGACGAGACATCGCAATAGATAGGATTGCAAGGAAGGCATACAGGATCTTGCTTGGCCCTTAACAACAAATATCGAAAATGCCGGCATCTCTTCCACAATTACTTTGTCGAAATGTCGGCAAAATTGCGAGATGCCCAGTCCCAAAGTTCCCTCTGTTCGAAAGCGTAGACCATCGACCCCCAAGTTGCTTCGTAACCCGAGCCTTCTCCTTTCGGACTCCAACTAGAGCACCTCTGCCAAAGTCTACGAAGATCCCGCCCAAGCCACGAGCTTATCGACCCTTTCCTATACTTGCGGCTGGAGGTGGCGTGGTTTCGATCCTGTTGGCTTTCGCGCAGCCTACAGGACAGAGACCAACTGATGCCGCCGTGGCAAGAAACCCTAAGAGCTTGGAACCACAGACACGTGGCCCTGATATTGGGCTGCCTACTTACCGCCTTGACGAGGTGAAGGAACATGGTCCCAAATCAGCCAGGCCGTGGGTGGTCTATGAGGACAAGGTGTACGATATCACGGACTGGATCCCGGCGCATCCAGGAGGAGAGGTGATTCTCCGCGCTGCTGGTGGCAGCATCGAGCCGTATTGGGACATCTTCGCTATACACAAGTCACCATACGTTCGCGAGATCTTGCAGCAGTACGTCGTGGGCAAGGTGCACCCGGACGATCTTGAAGATGGACGGCCACGTATGGATACCATCGAAGACCCATTCGTGGCAGACCCCACACGCGACTCGAGGTTGCTACAGTTGACTTCGAAGCCATGCAATGCAGAGACAGCAGGGGAGGATCTCACTGGGGAGTTCTTGACCCCAAACGAAGTCTTCTATGTTCGCAACCACATGTGGGTTCCTGTGGTCGAAGATCGCACTGGCGACTCGCATGGTATCACAATCGAGCTCCCAGACGGCCAGGAAAAGAAGTACACGGTTGGTGACCTCAAGGCCAGGTTCAAGCAGTACAGCGTCACGGCGGTGCTGCAGTGCTCTGGCAACAGGCGGAAGAACATGACGGACTACGCGCGAAAGACGAACGGCCTTCAATGGGGCGTTGGTGCAATCAGCTGTGCAAAGTGGGAAGGCGTGCGGCTGCGCGACGTCCTAGTCGATGCTGGTCTGACCGTGGACGAACCATCCGAGGACGCACAGCACGTGCAGTTCTCCGGGCTGGAGGCATATGGCGCGAGCATCCCCATACATGCCGCGCTGGACCCGCGTGGCGATGTCTTGCTCGCTTTCAAGATGAACGACCTGCCCTTGCCCAGAGATCACGGATTTCCCGTCCGCGTAATTGTCCCAGGTACGGTCGCCGCTCGCTGTGTCAAGTGGGTCAATAAGATCGTCATCTCAGACGAGGAAAGCAACACAAGCTGGCAACGCCGAGACTACAAGTGCTTCGGGCCTAACGAGACACAGAATCTGGACTGGGACAAATACAAGTCGATTCAAGAGATGCCAGTCACAAGTGCGATCACTAGAGCGAGAACAAAGTCGGGCCTGTCCACACAAACTACTGCTCCTGCTACCGAGGTTGGTGGCCGGGCAACGGGCAAAGTTGTCGAACTCGAAGGCTACGCATACTCGGGAGGAGGACGAGATATCCAACGCGTTGATGTCAGTTTAGATGGCGGCCTCACGTGGGACCAGGCCAAGCTCCTGGATGATACACACGAAGAAAGAGGAAGCAAGAAATGGTGCTGGAAGAGATGGACATACGAGGGGATCCTCCCTTCCGTTGAAGGCCAAGATGGACACAGCACAGCTACCACCTTTGTCGTCAAAGCAACCGATGAGGCATACAATACTCAGCCTCAATGTTACAAGACTATCTACAACCTCAGGGGGAACCTGGCCACAGCCTGGCATCGACTCGAATTTGATGTAGCAGCTGGTCGCGATGGGCAGCAAGACAACGTCAAGGCCACTGGCGCGGTCTAGCACTTGGTGGAATAATGGCAGGAGGGTTGGCAGCCAGGCCTCTCCGTGTTACGCTTGTGATGTATGTACTATACAGATTGAGCGTCTGAGTTTCTATGGTTTAAGCGCGGTGTCCGGAGACATGCTTGGCTTTGCCACAGGAGTTCTGTGCAGTATATATCCTGCGTTTTAATAGGTTCACGGACTGGTTCTTGGTTTCAGCTCTGTTTCTCGGTTTCAACAATGAAGACACATTCCTCAGGATGGTGTAACACCCAACAAAATTCACGCATCGCAGTCTTGGAAAATTCGCAGAATTCTTACGAGCATAGTAAACACCACATATACATATATTTATTCGCATTTGCTTTTCAGCGGTTTCGGTACGCAACGTGGGCTGACTCTTTGGACAACACCAGAATTTAGGAGCATTGCCTGAGATTTTGACCAGCTATGATAACCTCATTTACACTGAAAACAGAGCAAACTATCAGGGGAAAATACCGAAACAATTTGCATATAGCGTAACCGTGCTTGACCAATCCGAGAATATGCCCCTAACACCAACTTCCCTGGCTAGAACATCCACTAGGTTGTATATATCCCCATCATTCTTGGTGCTATTGTATATGGTTGAGTAGTAGTAATCCGGGCCGTTTCCAACTTTGGCTAGTGGCCCAGACCGCTCTAGAGACCAAGTGACTATGTCCAGGCCCAGTCGTTTTGCCTCTATCGCATATGCGCTTGGGATGATCTCGTTGTTGTCATCCAGCGTGACCAGGTATGGCAAGGGGGGCGCAACGTTCCTGACCCCTGAGTCCTTGTAGAACGACAAGTTGGCAATGGCGCCGGGAAAGGTTGCAGGGGTATCGCCACTTTCGTCGAGGAGTAGTGCTTGCTTGCTGAATTCTGGCTCGTTCTTGATCCAGTACGCAACATCAGCGAACAGGAAACTCTGTGGCCAGACGCGTTTGAAGTCGATATTTGCCTCACGATACTCGTCCACCAGTTTCTGAGCAAATTTCTCCTGGGTGAACCACCCATTGAACGGCATCGGCACAGCTGCAGGGGGTGTCTTGAGCTCAGGGGTAAAGTCCAGGCCGAGTTGGTCCACAAGACCGATGAAATCCTTGTGTGAAAGCACGGTACCACATGTCGAGTATAGGTCAGTTCTCCATGCTGCTGTACCGTCGAGGAAATCTTCTGGCGTGGTAGCCGACGCGTTGAAGCCGTCCATTTTGCTGCAAAGGGACTTGAACTCGGCCAACGTGATGTCACTGGTGCAACACTTGGCCGTGGCGGCGGTTCCATTGCCTGCTGGCGTGAACGGCTGCGTACACTTAGCATTCAGCTCGGTGGCAACAATGTTCGTTGTAGTGTGCAGGTCACACTGGTCGTGCCGACAGACCAGTTCCAAATCGCTAGTAAAGGCGACATCGCACTCCTGTATTCCGGCGCCCATGCGCGTGCCAGCCACAATGGACTCAAGCGTCTCCTCAGGCAACTGCAAGCAACCTCCACCTCGGTGCCCGATTGAGAACTTGGTAGGCTGCATCTCCATCTCTAGACAAGAGGACAGGCGATCCTTGAGCCACCCTTCATCCATGTCGTTGACAAGGAACTCGGGGCGCGGCCCGAGCTCCACGTTCAGAATGGGACGGTGTAGGGCGGATTGTTGAGTCCTGCTTGGCAAAGCAACTACTCCTGCCACAGCCGCAAGCCGAACGGCTAACAGTTGACCCTTTGGATGCATTGCGGCAGTTTGATTAGGATCTTGCAGTTGGGAATGCCAGTACACAAGATTTCCGAGCAGACCACAAAGTAGGATGTGCAAAGGGGGGCGGGGGGTGCAATTGTTCTTATAATTGAAAAGACTACCTTGAGGCCGTATATGCTTACTTGATTGGCTTCTCACAGAGATAACACACAAACGTGGTTACAGCGCCAAGCAAGTCGCTTGGCACAACACGCCTCATTTTCTCTGGCGGTGTTGACTCCCAGACCATCGTAAGTTTGCTTCTGCCAGGCGTAAAAGAACGCACCTGAAAAGGCCCGGAAAACCTGAAAGATCGCTTTTGCCCAGCCGAGTGGTCGTCTTGGCACCTTGAGTGCCAGGGTCCCCGGAAGCGCCAGAGAAAAGTTACTTCGCCAAGCAGATCCGCCAGAGTCCCATCTGCGGAAGACGGGTATATCAGCAGCTTTGATCGCACGTGTGGGATAAGCTTCATAGTATTTGGCGGTACCTGGAGTTGGCGCCGTGAACTGCGAGCTGCGAGGCTCACGTGTGGGTAAGCTTGTTTCCAATTCGCTGTACGCTGTACTTACATTTTGCTTGGCAACTTCAGCCTCGTAACGGTCCACCTTCCTAGGTAAGTATCAGACGGGACGATACAGTCCAGAGTGAATACTCCACTACCACCCTCCTCGCCGTAGGCGTCCAAGATTGCTTGGTGATGGCAAGCCCGACGTGTAGAAGCTGGACCGTTTGATACTCCGAAATGCGTGCTTGAATAGTCAGCGCAGAGAGTCCACCGAGCCCACGAATTCTCTTAACTTAGACGTGGTCATTGGTGTTCGCGTGAGAGTGGTATACAGTTGACTTGGCAGGACTGAACACGGGCAATAATTGGTAAGCCAAGCTGTCAGAAATGCGAGCATCCTACTGTCGTAGACATACTTGCTATGGACGGGACCCATCGTAGATACCTATATCGGTACATAGTGATGCTGGAGTCGTGTCACTCGGGAGGGCGGACCTCCCAGACGGACATCCGCACTTGGGCCTGGTTCGTGTTGTTGCCCCGACTGTCACAACAACGACCAAGGCTCGTCGAGTGATCATTACCTTCCCGGAGATCCTGCCGGCTAGCAGATTGAAGCGGCAGATTCGGTTAGTTTGGCCTTAAGGGGCCTAACTTGCTGACGGGCCAAAGACACTCATTATCACAGAGTGAATCATGTGAGGCAGTCGGGGCTGGTACTCCGCGTAACTAGATGTTCCTCATGTTGATGAGCGACAATCGACTGCCTTCAGGAGTGGTGGGTATCAGATCCCGCCAATCCTGGTCATAATCGGCCACCATTAGGGAGGCACATTCTCGATGGGCCGATAATGCAGGTTTGAAAATGCCAAAGAAAGATTTAACCCCACAAGGGTCGCGGTTGCGTTGTGGTAACTCGCTCTTGACACCCTCATCGAAATCTGTCGTACGCAATAGTTGACTGGGAACAGACAGTGAATCTTCTAGTTGATCAAGCTACCTAATGCATGCATATGCTTGGTTGTAACGTGCTGGGGTGAGTCGGAACGATTTCTGACAAGCTTGCTATGGTCCGTCGCGGAACAGCAACTCAGGTCATTCATAGACATGAACAGCAAGCATCCATGTACGACAGAAGCCGGTCTGCCGGCTCAGAGACCCTGGAAGGACTTGACCTTCCACGCTGGACCCTGGGTGTGGTAGTTAGGCTGCCGCGTACACGGCTGGCCAGAGAGCCTAAGCCCAGCAAGCCTAGCGCTTCAACGGGCCCAAGACAGCCGGAGCCAAGCGAGATGCAATCCCCTGCTGCGGGAGGAAGCACCCCCGGCGCACCAATGGTGACACACCACAATTGGGCAGATTTCGTCATAGCCTTCAATGACGTAGCGCGTGACTGTGGCTTTCGTGCATCACTTGACAAACCTACCCTCTTTACGGCCCTTATTAGTTCAAACGACTCGGCCCTCTGTCCAAGGTTCAGTCAAGAACTGGGCAAGCTGCACGCTTACCGGTAGTTGCAGCCTATCACAGATCGGCCTGCCCAGTCAGCGCAATCGAAATCGCGATTCCGATTAGCCGTGGTGCCTCATCATGCCCGCTCCGGTGTCTGGCGCGGCGCGTTCTTGACGTTTCTTGCCTATCCTGGCTGAGCTGGCGTGCTGTTGGAAAGCCCACGTCATGGTCGCTGGGCAGAAACTCATGGGCATCCACGGCTCTTGTCAGACCGCCCTTAGTAATGTCTGGTAGCGATGGCTTTGGAATATATATGTAAACTGCGTCTGCCCTACTTCCGCGTATGAATTCCTCCGTGGTGCTTCACTCTGATTCAGCCTGTCGCATTCGATAACCCAGTCAGCAACAATCTTATCAAAGCTTCCCAGCTTCCCAGCTTCCTATCTACAGTACATACCAAAGCAAACAACTATTTGGACCAACAACATGGCTCATTCCTGGCTCTCTATTGTCCACGCCGTGGCTGCGGTCTTCGCCATCATCGAGCTGGGCCTAACTGCGTACAGTAAGTCGCCCGCAACGCCAAAGCTGGCAGGGACTACGACCATCAACAATATGTATACTAACGCCATTGAACAGTTGCCAGTTGGTGGGGAGGATACTGGTCATTTGACCGCGTCAACTTCATGATCTTCAACTCGGTCTGGTCGCTCCTGGTTCTCGCCTACGTCGGCATCACTCCGATTTACATGACCAGCATCTTCCACAAGCTTGCCGCGTTGGTACTCAATGTTATAACCACCATTTTCTGGTTCGCTGGATCAATTGCGCTTGCTGTCGCCTTCGGCCACTCGGGTGGTACAGCCGCTGCAGCGATCGCTTTTGGATTTTTCTTGTGGTAAGTTATGGAGTTGACTTGAAATATTGGACTATGCTGACCAACTTTCCCACAGGGCCCTCTTCATGGTGTTGACCGTTGTCGATGCTCTCGAGTCGCTCCGCAGTCGTGGGCACAATGCGCCTGCGACTAGCAACAAGCCCTCGGCTTACCCTGGTGTCTAAGCCTGGAATGACGCCTGTCGTTTGGGACGTGTCAAGGCAAACCAACAACATGCAATGAAAATGTTTACGGGCGTTGGGTCCTGTTTCTCTGGGGCGGCAGGCGTTTGGGGAATGGGAATACCCTAGTGATGAGCATCGTATTCTTTGTTTATAGCAACATAAGGCACGTTCAAGGAGGTGTTCTCGCATCCCCATACCTAATTCATAATATACACTGTTGCTTATAAGACTTGTCTCGAGACTATGTAACAATGGCAAGTGAATGCTAAACACATTTGAGCATAGGTCACGCGCATGTGGTAATCGCAGGCCTGGCTGTACAGAGCACATTCACGCTTGCCCTAGTATTGTTCATTATTGGCGCTGCGGTAGGTTCACGCATGCGCCAATGAGTCGTTGGCACACAACCCATGGATGGCTAGTCCTATCTAACAATCACAGCTTGTTGACGTGAGAACGAGCATAGTGCACCACTCGACTCGAAATCTCCATCTACTAGTCTTGCAACAAGCGAATGCCTCCTTTCCTAGAGCTCATCTCTCTCTACCCCTAACGTTTGAAGACCCCGGTTGACAGCCCGCAGGTGACGGAATTCAGGAGCATCCTCTCCAAGACCCCAAGCGAACACACCACCGAGATGCTTGGTCCTCACAATCGACGGAAACTTGCTGACAATCGCAGTCGGGGTGTCAAACGTCCACCAAATGCCCTCCTTGTTATCATAGAAGTAGTAGCCCCCACCATTATCATCATACGACCCGCCCGCGAGAGCCTTCGCAAATGACTCCTTGACGTCTCCGGGTACATCGTCATGCCAACTGAAACCACCGGTTTTGCCGAGATCTCCTCCAGTCTCAGGGTCCTCCATCAGACCAGTGGCACATCCAACGGGTCTCGTTGCACACTGGCCCTGGTGCTCGCGAGAGATACGGAAATATTTGACGTAGAAGGCGAATCCCAGGTTCAGCTTCTCAGCAGGTGCTCCATTCTTGATGTACTGGTCGATGGCTTCCAGCGACAGCTGGACTCCAGTATGATGCTTGGTCACAATATCGCGCCGGTTCATCAGATCATACGTCATGACATTGAGGAAGTCGACCGAAGCCATGATGGAGGGTTCCGTCTCGGGCGTAAATGCCAGCATATCTCGCGTAAGACCTGGCACGGCAGCTGACAGAAGTTTCCCGGGGCCGATAGCGGTGCGCATCTCTGATAGCAGCAGAGGGTATGCGTCAATCTCCCACACGCGCTCCGAGTTGGGGTGCTGTTTGTAGTCCTCACCGTTGCCGCTGCAAATGTCAGCGGGCGTTCCGAGGAAACACGCAGTCATGGTTTTGGACGTACCCTGGGTATTCCCAATCGATATCAACACCATCCGCTCCAGTATCGTTTAGCATTCTGGCAATATTGCGCGCAAACCGCAGGCGGCTCTCAGCAGTTCGGGCTGCAACACCAAACCCTTGCGTATCGCCCCAGCCTCCAACAGCAACCATTACCTTGGTGCTAGGTGCGAACTTTGACCGCGTCTCGGCAACAGACATGAATATAGGCCAGCTACGATCCGGCGTGTCCTCATTGAACACGCTGGATTGCATGAAGGCCAAGATGACATGTGTGATGGACGCGCTGAGGCCGACGTCTGGGACAACGGGGTGCTGGCTGTCCATCGTTGTCAGTCATGCGGTGCACCATGATAATAGGGAGGGGGGAACTACCCAGTCAGATACATGATGTTCCGGAGAGGGGCCATTGTCGACTGGGCCAGTGATACCATAACCATCACCATCAACAAGGCGAACACGCTGCCGAACCGTCGCAGGAAGGCCATGGCTCGGAAACAGGCAGGGCAGCAGGGCGGCAAGCAGATGCAATTCTGACTCGCGTTTTAGATCTAATTCATTTCGATTGACGAATTTAGACTTCTCTGCTGGAGGGGGCGCAAAGACAGGTTCACGCGGGATCTGAAGAGACCAAGTCGAAGGGCTTTGAGTCGTTGTTTGTTGATCCTCGCCTTGTCCTCCGTCAACGGTTGAAGGCTTCAAGCTCACGTTCGTAAGCCTAGCTACAACGGTACCTAGCTAGATAGAGTACCCCTAAGGTGCCTGAGTAGCGCCCAAGGTAAGCCTTTAGCCCCGCCGAAAGCTTCTCAACGTTAGGTATTTGAGTGCCTAAATTTACAACCCACCCCACCATCGTCTGCATCCTTGGATCCTCCACAGGTACGTGGAAGGGATCCGGAGGCCCTTGAAACCTGAAGCTGCGTAGCGCCTCACGATAGACAATCTAAGGGCGATTGATTGCAGAATGAGCATCAGTCGGTGCGCAGCATGGTGGCCGCGTATTTATTTGCTGTTTAGCATATCCTTCAGTGTGTCGCTCAGTGCCACTATGTAACTTGGAACGAACGGGCCACTAACGAATAGAACAATGCAGTACAGAAACGGGCCGGTCCTGATCGACCACTAACTTACAATACCCTCGGGAGTTTTTGACCATTGTCTTGGACGGTTTCAGAGTCTCCCAGGCAAAATGAGCTGGAGATTGAAAGCAACCGAGGTGACAGCCTGATAAGGTAACTCGTACAGATGTGATCATCAGTGATTAACAGCGTGCGTGCTGGTCACTTCCTACAATGGGAGTACATATACCCCAGGTGACTCTGCCTACCCGACCCCTCCTCCAAGGCCAAGCCCAATGATAGTGAACCGACAAGCCATGGAAAACTCGGTGATTCGATGATCCTAAGCATCGTGAATCTGCCACTTCCGTGCTCGGTTTGGCCGACTCAAGCCCTGCGAACCGTCTTGCCCCTGATGAAGCCCTGCAGCCACGCTACCTTCATTACGTATTGCCTCCAGTCAACCGTGTCAGTTATAGACGTGTGCTGGTGGCGCCAGCCTAGAGGCAGACTGGTCTGTCCAGGGTCTATGCCCCACACGAGTTGTGCTCACTAGGCTCACTATGGCCCGTTGGTGGCTGTCGTACCGACTTGGCGGTATTTAGGTGTATACTGATGGGCTAGAGCTCCATACCTAGTGGCTGTTTGTGCCTTAGCCGCCCTGCGGGTCCAAGATCTTGGACCGACCAGAGTTTGGGAGGGGAATCATATATCGACTAGCAAAACCCGTCCTTGCACGCTACTTTTCTTGTGATTTCCATGGAGGATACAGTGCGCCTCCGAGCTTGCTTCGTCAATTGGCATTGGATTGCCCAACTTAGCTCGTTGACTCGCATCGTTGGAACGGCCGTAGCTGCGTGGCCAAGACGTTGACCTCGCCAATGCAAGAACAATGTCTGAATCCGGGCACTCGTTCCCTTCCACGGGAATCAACTCCGGCGGCAGCGCTCGCATAGAGGTGGGAGACCCAAACGATATCGAAGAGGATGAGTTCGAACCATCCATCATCGACGACGAATCTATACACACATTCGGGAGTATTACGACCAGTGTTTTCCGCCACTCATACGAGAACGGCCGTCGTGTGGGTAAAAGACTCTTCAAATGAGGTTCGCTAAGCTCACCCACACTGTCAAGTATCACAAGTATCGATATGGGACATATCCGATCCCAAACGACGATACGGAGCAGACGCGCGATGAGATGAAGCATGCTACAACTCTCGAGATCACCGGGTACCGCGTCCTCCCATTTGCTCTTGTGCATTCTTCTGGCAAGCAGCAAGGTTCCTAATACCTTTTCTTTTTTAGGGGTAAACTGTTCTTCGCACCTATCGGGGAGCATCCGCAGCGCATCATTGACCTCGGAACAGGCACGGGATCATGGGCCATTGGGAGTAAGACTCGGACTCTGCTTACTGCATCGGAAGTCTCCTATCCCTCGGGGACGTGATACGGTAGCCTGCAAAAGCTATAGCATGTTGACAAAACACAGTGGCAGATCAGTTCCCGAGCGCGCAGGTGATCGGTCTCGACCTGAGCCCGATCCAGGAACCGTGGATCCCGCCCAATCTACGGTTCATCGTCGAGGATATACACGATCCTTGGATACATGGAGACGACTTTGACCTTGTCCATCTGCGGCACGTCAGCCTGTTTCTCAAGAACTTTGAATCCGTTGTTGCAAAGGCTTTTCAGTAGGAAATCTTTGTTTACTACATGTTCCCCGCCGGGGGTCCACTTCGAAGCTCTGCTGATCTCACGTTTCTTCAGACATTTAAGACCCTCCGGTTGGATCGAGCTGCAAGAGTTTGGCGGCTGTGCTCGATGTGATGACGGCAGTATGCGTGACGACTCCCCGTTCAAGATCTTCATGGACAAGACCGGCGAGGCGCTGTCCAAGGCCTACGGGTTCCAGTGGCGTGTAGCCAACATAATGGAAGGTATTTTGAGGCAGCATGGATTCGTGAATATCAACTGCAATAAGTACAAGATGCCCCTGGGGAAATGGCCAAAAGTAGGTCACGCCATCTGGTCAGCACAAGGCGCAACGCTGGGCAGTGTGTGCTGATGCCGTTGCAACAGAACAAGAAACTCCGTCTTATAGGCGAATGTATGCGGGAGATTGTGTCTGACCTGATAGATGCGATGGGTGCCAAGCCGCTCCGGGAGATCATGGGAGATGCCGAGGTCAGGAAGCTAGTTGTTGATTCCAAGGCGGAGCTGGCCGGCTATGAGTCGCATATGTACGTCGAGTACTTCTTCTGGTACGCTCAGAAGCCTCCAGTAGAGCCGCTTGCAGGATAATAGGAGGCGCTGCTCTGGCTACGCATCGTGACGAGGCCGTCCGGATGAAACGCCAAGCTATGCTCCGGCGACCGTAAGAGCGTTTGAAAGATACAAGTTGGGAATTGAAGAAGTAACCAATCTCATCCCCTGGGCTTTGACGTTGGTTGTACGTAAAGTAGCTACGATATTTATCAACTTTCGCATATAGTTTGTAGGTATATGACGAGGCTCGGTTGGGACCGAACAGGGAGGTCTTTGAGCTTTCCCTATACAGAATTCATAACCAAACACGTAGTAATGGTCGGGCCATATGTGCAAGAAATCGAACTCGAGGGCAGCAGAGAATCATTACGGCGGCTCCCAGCTCTGTGTGGTTGTACGGTGTCTACAGTACATCAGTACTGCGCTAACTTGAGCAGGGGGAGTTCACTAATTATCAATAACCAAGGCCCTCGGAAAATTTCCGCGCTATGCCACCTAGCCTTGGAAATCCGAAAAAAATTGAGGAGCTCCGACTCCCCTTGGGATTGACGAATTGCTACAGGCCAAGTGTGGTCGCATCAGCAAAACCCAAACACCAGCTCACCGTTTACGGGTTTGTTTGTTTTCGACCTGGTCCTCTGCTCACCCCGGGTCAATGGTACGCTACATCGCGAGCTATTCTGCGCCGCTTTTGTAGCACCCATCCATCCGGTGTTTTTGTTGCAAGGCCCATCATGCTGGAGAACTTGTGCACCCTTCCACTGAGCGCCGAGCTCTTCACCCAGGCCATCCACCCAAGGGAGCCTTTGCTTGCGGTAGGCTTGTCGACCGGCCATGTCGAGTGTTTCCGCCTGCCAGCGTCGGACCGCAGCTCGGACGACGATGCATCAGCCGACGTGAGCGTACTGTCCGACGGTAAGGGAACCATCGACACGACATGGCGAACTCGCCGGCACAAGGGCAGCTGTCGGACCCTGGGATTCAGTCTCGATGGAACTGGTGAGTAGCCCTCCCCTCCCTGATATCCCATTCCCCGCCACGCCCTGCGGTGCTGGCTCTCGACTTGGAACGGTCAATTGACATGGGTATCATCGTCTCTAGCTCTCTACTCGGCCGGCACCGACTCCCTGCTCAAGCATTTCTCCCCCGTCACTGGCCAGGTCGCCTCGAAGATTGCCCTCCCCGCCCATAACAACAGCCCTGATGCCCCGACCCTCCTCCATGTCCTGTCACCCCAGACGCTGCTTGTCGGTTGCGATTCAGGCGCACTGCACCTTGTCGACCTCCGCGACCATGCCCTGGCCTCCCAGAAGCCACAACAGACTCACATCCCCCACTCCGATTTTCTATCGTCCATTGCGCCTCTCCCGCCCAGCGACGCAAGCACCAGCGGCTTCAGCAAGCAGTGGGTCAGCACCGGCGGCTCTACATTGGCCGTCACCGACCTGCGCCGGGGCGTCCTGGTCCGCAGCGATGACCAGGAAGACGAGCTCCTGAGCTCTGTCTTTGTGCCAGGCCTGGGGCCAAAGAAGAACCGGGAGAATGGGGTAGTTGCCGTCGGAACCGCCACCGGCGTTCTCACCCTCTGGGACAAGGGTGCGTGGGACGACCAGACCGACCGCATCATCGTGGACCGTGGTGGCGAGAGCTTGGATTGTATTGTCAGAGTCCCTGATACAGTGACATCAGGCAAGAAGGTCGCCGTCGGTGTTGGCGATGGTACTGTGAGGCTTGTGGATCTGTTCAAACGCGAGGTTGAGGCGACATTCAGCCATGACGAAGTTGAGGCTGTGGTCGGACTAGGCTTTGACTGCCAGGGCCGCATGATCAGTGGCGGAGGAACCTCGGTCAAGGTCTGGGAAGAGAGCGTCGGCGCCAGCTACGGCGGTCATGATGATGATGATGATGATGGGGATGAAGACGAAAGCGACGACGACGATAACGATAGCGAGAGCGACGATGCTAGCGGCAGTAACTCCGATGCTCCCGACGTTGAGGCACCCACGAGTACCAAGCGTCAAGCCGATAGCGAGGAGGACTCTGGGTCCGACAGCGACGCCGGCTCCAGGAAGCGCGGCAAGAAGAAGAGGAAGAGGGGAAAGGTTGCCGTCGATCTCGGTCCTCACGGTGCTCACGGCGTTTTGAAGTTCAAAGGCCTGGACTAGAGGAGGCCTGAGGCAACTGACGCCGACTTGTGCCGCATTCGCGTGGTGCTCGTCCACCGTACTACCTGGATGCGTTTGACTATTCCTATTCCTCCTTGCCTGTTCATGATACCCAAAAAGCTGCGCCACAGTCTGGCCTCGGAGCCATCAATTGTTGCATATCATAATTTCATGGTCTTCTCTTCGGGTGTCTAGTTCCGGCTTGTTAAGATATGACTGCCCGTGTGCCAATGTGTGAACATGTCTTGACCTCTCCCATTACCGCCTCGCGGTTCTCGCCAAGCATCTACGCCCCGTTTTCCCCAGTGTTAGCACTCGAGTATCGGTTAAACGCAGTTGAGCTATGGATGCGGATATGCCGCCAAAGCATACGCCCCTATATAGTCCCCAACTCCATATCCATAACAACCCGGGGAGTATCCCTGGAGGCCCCAGCCTCTCAACAGCGCACCCGTAGGTCTTTGGGTCGGTGGAACTAGCACATACAGCATCCCAGGATGGCTCTCACAATCTCTCCTTAATCTTCATATGCTTTGCAGCGAACTCCAGCGCGGCCGTGTACCCATAAACGCCAAGTCCGCAGATCATGGCCACAGCCTTATCGGTGAAGTAACTGTGGTGCCTGAATGCCTCTCTCGCGTGGACATTGGAAACATGCAACTCGACAAACGGGATTTCAACTCCGAGAAGCGCATCGCGAATGGCCACACTGGTGTGGGTGAAACCTCCCGGGTTGATGATTATCGCATCGACGTGGCCTCTTGCCTCTTGTATCCGGTCGATGATGGCACCTTCGTGGTTTGACTGGAACGTGGCTAGTGATATAGCCAGCTCGTTGGCCTGCTTCTGAGCTGCAGCTTCGACGTCCGAGAGCGTCGTGCTTCCGTAGATGTGTGGCTCGCGTGTGCCCAGCAGGTTGAGGTTTGGACCGTTGATGATAAGAATTGAACGAGCCATTGTTAATGTGTAGTTGTCACGACGAATGCCGGGTTTTGGCTCGGTTCACTGTCTCTTTTCAATGACCGGGTCTGTGTACTGTACTCTCTTGAACTAGCTCGCGCTACGTAGAGCCGTGAAGTCATTATGCCCCATCGTTCATCCTATACGTTCAACCGACCATCGCTTACCCGGCCTCTGTTCCAACAGACGCCGCCGCGTTATTCTCCAACATAAGTGCCCCCCCATCCATCCCCGCACCAGAGGGATTCTCCGCATTCGCTTTGGTGGTTCCCTGTCAAGTAATGCTGGGTAAGCTGGGTAAGCGTTTTTCCACCCTGGATGGGGAAATTGCTGAGTTAAGATGCGCTTGGTCGCCCAAATGGAAACTACGAAGTCAAGAAACCATCGCCGGATCAGATAGTCTGGATTCGAGCTTCTAGAAGGCTATTGCAACGAAAAGTTAGACATGAGATCAAACCAATTTCCCCTTAAAACCGACATAGTATGTAGTTGTGAAGCCTTCCCTCGGAGACTGAAGCGAAGAGAGTTGTTCCCACCTCAGCAGGCGCAGAGACCCCTACTTTGAGCACTAGCACCACCGAGTCAGCAGCGCCGCCGCTCCAACCTGCGGGCCAAAGCCGCTGTGGACTCGACAGTGCGACTCGGTTTGCGGCGGTTCAGATGGCGACAGGCGACTGAGAAAGAATGGAAGTGATAACAATGCTCAACTTGTAATCTTACAACAACCTAGCACTTGACCAAGAGTTGCCCTTCCTTGTCTGGTAGAATCAAACTGTGCGTGTAAAGTGGAAATCCGTAAACACCATGCCTGAGCTTAGCAGCGAAGAGCTGCAGGAGATCTACACTTTCGCCGTGCAACTCGGGAAAGATGCAGGTGATTTGCTCATGAGCTTTGCACGTGCGCGATGGAGCGACAACCGCTATTCTGTCCAGGCGGTTGTTGAGAAGGACAGCGCGGTGGATATCGTAACCAAGGCCGACGAAGGTGAGCCCACCAAGGGCGGAAGGCGCTGCTTGTCCTGTCCGATTGCTGATGCCAGGAGCTTGTCGAAGATGTCGAGGCATTCATCAAGACGTCGATTGAGAAGAGATTTCCCACGCACAAGTAAGCATTAATGCACCCTTGTCGCCTTCGACTGACGTCGGCCCTCCCCCAAGCTTGGAACTGACATGTTGCCGGATACTCTTAGGTTCATCGGCGAAGAGACCTACTCCAAAGGGGCCTCGAGAGACTACCTCATTGGCGACGACCCAACGTGGTGCATTGATCCGCTAGACGGCACTGTCAATTACACACACCTGTTTCCCATGTTCTGTGTCTCGATAGGCTTTGTGCTAAATGGGAAACCGACAATCGGCGTCATTAATGCCCCGTTCCTCAATCAGAGGTTCTCTGCTTGTAAAGGGCAAGGTGCATGGCTGAATGAGACCCAACGATTACCGCTCGTGCGGAACCCGATCCCACCCATGCCAGCGCAAGCCCCGGGAGGGTGCGTGTTCTCCTGCGAATGGGGAAAGGACAGAAAAGACCGCCCAGACGGTAACATGCACCGCAAGGTCGAAAGTTTCGTAAACATGGCAGCTGAGGTCGGAGGGCGTGGTGGAAGAGGCGGCATGGTCCACGGTATCAGAAGCTTAGGAAGTGCCACCTTGGACCTTGCGTACATTGCCATGGGCTCCTTTGACATCTGGTGGGAAGGAGGCTGCTGGGAGTGGTGAGTTTACTCCTCAAAGCCGACCAAAGAAAGAATGGCCTGATATCCGAGTGAATGCTAATGAACCGGACGTTAGGGATGTGTCTGCGGGCATTGCCATTGTAGAAGAGGCTGGCGGCTTGATCACGACCGCTAATCCGCCGGAGGATTACCAACACGCGCCCATAGAAGACGTGCAGCTGGGCAGTAGGCTCTATCTAGCCATCAGACCCGCTGGGCCCTCCGCGACAGAAACCGGCCGGCAGACACAAGAAAGGGTTGTTCGAGAAGTGTGGTATCGCGTGAGAAACCTCGATTATAACCGGCCAGGGGTTTGAGCACGCTCGATTGCAACAATAAACATGAAAAATATACATTTGGGTATATATTTACAGCTACATAGTGTGCAAGCCGAGTCTAAGGAATTGGCTGCGGTTCAAAACATCCTAAAACTCCGTGACAATGCTGGGGTGCCCTCCGAAAATGCCAAGACAAATGTGTGCCGACATTTCTACAGCTTCGAAATCTGCGAAAGTCGTGCGGCGATAACTTCTTTGACCGCCTTGACGGGCAGCTCGTTCAGCGGCAAGCCTGTCCAGTACCTGTCCTGCTCGAGGCCTTGCCAGATGAGGGCCTCTGTGCCTAATATGACTTGCCAGCCTTCACGTTCAGCGATGCCGCCAATTTCCGTGTAGGGGTTCGGGTTGTAGCACATCTCGAGGATACTGCCTTTCCTCTCCTTCTTGAAGAAGGTCACCATGATCGCTCTCGCCAGTATCTCTTCTTCTGTCTTGGGCGGGAAGTCGGGTACGCATGCCACAATGGCTCCGGGCGCCTCCAGTGCCTCGGCTTGCTCAACGGTCGCGACGTGCACGAGCCTGTCGCCATAGCCACGCGCCGTACATTCAGCTATAACGGCATCCACTTCGCTGGCATCTCGGTTGACGAGATAGATCTTGGTTGCGCGCATCCACTTCTGCAGAGCGTAGACGGCACTGCGGGCTGCGCCGCCGCCGCCGATGACCATTGCTGGCTTGTCGTGAAAGACGGCGTCGGGGTCCGGTACGTTCTGATAGAAGGACTCCCGGATGCCGACGACGTCCGTGTTGGTGCCGCAGAAGATTCTCCGGCCATCCTGTTCCCTGACGAAGATGGTGTTGCAAGCACCGACTTCCCGGCACTCTTCCGTCATATCATCCAGGTATCTCATGATGGCAACCTTGTTTGGCATTGTGACCGATGCTCCTGCGAAATGCTTTAGCACGACTCACGTGACTGCACGTATGGGGAGAGTTTCATACCGTAGAAGTTAGGATCCTTGATAAGGTCGAGGAACTCGGAAATGTCCGAGGACTCAAACAATTGTTGTTCCCATTTCAGACCAAGTTCATTGTAGATTGTCTTGTGCAGTAACGGCGACATGGAAGCTCGGATCTTTAAGCCGAAAAGATATCCATGCCGATCTAGTTGGTTTGGCTTCTGGGGAGAAGGGGCAGACATGTCTACTGTTAAGGTGGTCATTATTGCGGTTTGGTACAGAAGATCCAGGTAGAGGAGTTGGCTGTGTTGTGTTCAACGCGGACAAATATAAGAGGTGTGGTAGATGATAAGAGATTCTATAGCAGGCGGAGTTGATGCCAAACATCAAGTGGGCGCGGGCTTGTCAAGTAGTCTCTCACACACCGCGGCACTCCAGCCATCCAGCGAACTTGTGGGCATGGCATACCCACGGCATAATCGTATCGCGGAACTACTTTTTGCAACAAGGAGGTGGATGGGTGGAGTTGTGCACTTACGGGATAGTCTCTCAAGATTGAAATCACAAGAACAAGTGCGACTGATCTTATCTGGGGTATGTACTCTTCCGCGCAATAGTCCGAGAAACGCAACACACTGATCCCGATTCTCTAAAGTTTATGCAGGATTTTTCTTCTGACAGATCGCACGCGGTGGAGCTTGTAGGTGGCTTGCTGGACCGCTGGCAGGGGGTGGAATCCACCTCCGGTTAAGCATTCATCCTTTCTTATTCTTCGCAATGGCCTCGGCACTTGGCAACGCGTCTCCCGATACCTCTTCAGGGTCCTGAGCCGTTGCGGGGATCCTTCTCCACGGGGAAAGCTCCAGTAAAATTTCACAATCTACCGGGCCTACCTTGTAGCTGGTGCGAAACAGCAAACATAATTTGGCCAGGGTTTGATTGGTCCCGTGGCCATTACTCGTGCGTGCCATCCTGTTGTCTGGGAGTTGGCCATGGGCTCTTGGTACGGGGGCACTAGCCGTGGCGTTGGACCGCTTTGAATTAGGGTCAGGAATAACGGATATCCAGAGCGAACCCTGTCAGACTGCAGGATTTTCAACCACCAGACCGGATGGTTCAGTCGCAAAACCAACACGTCGGCGACAGCCAGAAGTGACATGTTCTACCCCGGAGTGTGGCAACCCCTGTGATTGCTATACATACAGCACTAGCGGGGAACGGGGTAGGAATCTAGACAACGAAGAGGTTAACCCCAGACTCTCCAGCTCCAGGCTCGCTACCGAGTACCGGGGCCCCGGATCATGATATAAGGGCAGCCCTGTCACTCAGAATTCCCACTTCATTGCCACCACTCCAGTTTCCATCATCATCATCATCATCATCACCATCTCTCGCCTGGGAGACTCCCACCAAAGTCTCTGAGCTGCCCTCCCTTCGGGACTCCACCGATCAGACACCTCGCCGTACAACTCTTGTCCGCCATGGGCATTCTCACCCTCAAGGAGGACAGGCCGACGCCGGCGGCCGTCTACAACTGGCGCGTCTACACTTGTGCGGCCATTGCGTCGTTCGCCTCGTGCATGATCGGATATGACTCTGCTTTCATCGGCACCACCCTCAGCTTGCCATCCTTCACGGCCGAGTTTGAGTTCGCGAAGCTCTCCCAGCCCGAATTAGCTCTGGTCCAGTCCAACATCGTTTCTGTCTACCAGGCCGGGGCATTCTTTGGCAGTCTGTTCGCCTATGTCTCCAATTGGTACATCGGAAGACGCAAGTCGCTATTCGTCTTTGTGGCAGTCTTCATCCTTGGCGCTGGTATGATGCTGGGCGCCAACCGCGAGCGTGGCCTGGGTCTCATTATCGGCGGTCGAGTGCTCGCGGGTATCGGCGTAGGCGCATCTTCAATGACCGTACCAATCTACATGTGAGAGCCCGCTCTACGTTTTGCACGTTCCCCATAAATCCTGTACTGACCCGCGAGCTATAGCTCTGAGCTCTCTCCTCCCGCTATCCGAGGGCGTCTGGTTGGTATTTACGAGCTTGGCTGGCAAATCGGCGGCTTGGTTGGGTTCTGGATCAACTACGGCGTCAACACAACCATGGCGCCAAGCCACTCTCAATGGCTCATCCCGTTCGCCGTGCAGCTTATCCCCGCCGGCCTGCTTGCCATTGGCGCTATCTGGATCAAGGAATCCCCCCGTTGGCTGTTTTCAAAAGGCAAGCGCGAACAGGCCCTGGCGAATTTGTGCTGGATCCGCAATCTGGACGCGAATGACATGTACATGATTGAAGAGGTGAGCTACATCGATGAGGAGCTCGAGCGTTACACGCGTGAGGTCGGCGCGGGTTTCTGGAAGCCTTTTGCTTCCCTGAAGCAAGGCAAAGTCATGTACCGATTCTTCCTCGGCGGCATGCTGTTCCTATGGCAGAACGGATCCGGCATCAACGCCATCAACTACTACAGTCCTACCGTGTTCAAGAGCATCGGCATCACGGGTACCAACACCGGCTTTTTGACGACTGGAATTTTCGGTGTGGTCAAGACGGTCGTCACTTTTGTGTAAGTTGAGCAAGAGCCCCCCAAGCCCTGCGGGCGTCCGCTTTACTAACTATTATTCAATTCCATAGATGGCTACTGTACATGATTGATCACCTTGGTCGACGCAAATTGTTGATGATCGGTGCCCTTGGCGGCTCGGCATGCATGTGGTTCATCGGAGCCTACATCAAGATTGCCAACGTGACCAACGGCGGCAACGGCCAATTGAGCGGTGGCGGCATCGCTGCCATCTTCTTCTTCTACCTATGGACTGCCTTCTACACACCTTCGTGGAACGGTACGCCATGGGTTCTGAATTCAGAGATGTTCGACCAGAACACGAGGTAAGACAAGTGCGCCCACATGAGATAATGATGTCAAACACTAATCAACTTTCACAGAGCACTCGGCCAGGCTTCCGCCGCGGCTAACAACTGGTTTTGGAATTTCATCATCTCTAGGTTCACCCCGCAGATGTTCTTGACCATGAAGTATGGCGTCTATTTCTTCTTCGCCTCGCTCATGATCATGTCATGTATCTTTGTTTACTTCCTCATCCCCGAGACCAAGTCTATCCCACTCGAGGCTATGGATCGCTTGTTCCAAGTCAAGCCAATCCAGAATGCCAACAAGATTGTCCTGGAAGAATTGGAGGCCCGCGATGAAGAGTTCCGCCATAACGCCGAAGGAGTTGATTTCAGGAAGGATAACAAGCAGGACTTTGAGCAGAAGGAAACCGTTTAGCCTACATTTGCAGTAGTTGTATAGAGGATAGCCATCGGTGTTGGATATGACATATTGAAGTCACAATAATAGCAGAAGATGAATACTGCATGACCTTTGGCCGTTCGTGCGACTATGTCTCTTAACTATTGAATCAATCCTGCGAGTCGTCATATGGCGTGTGCAATGATGCTTGAAATTTTTCTGCAGCATTTTGAATTCCTTCGGTAGTAAGTCGCATTGTTCTACAGTTGTCATAATCGATATTATTGGGCTGCGTGATTGTTTAAATATCAGATGGTGAGCTATATTCCGCGAGGGCTATCTAAGCATAACGCGCGGATGGATTTTCAAGGAGAGGATTGCGGCATCCAGTAAATTTGCAAAAGGGTCTTGATTCCGAGGTTCAATTTATCATTTATCATAGCCAGTCAACTTTAACAATGTTTTCGAATACTGCATAATTGTTGATTGCTATTGGGATATCTTGCAGAAAGCTAAATCATTACAGGGAAGCCGAAAATCTCTCTGACACCAGTGGTGAATCCACTTGAAGTTTCATGTCCCGCACAAGCTTCGCCCAAGATATCGCTCCACGACGAGCCAGCTCGCGCGGCACGTCCTCATCCGTTTCTGACATCCTCCTATTGAACAGTTCCAGACTAACCCATCCTTTGTAGCCGAGGCCCTGAAAAATCGCCCGGGCGATCTCGGCCACTGGGAGATACGCGCCGTAGTCCTTTTCTCCGTAAAACAGTCTGCAGTTTCTGGACCAACTCATTCTGCAAGGTTGCTCGGCATTGTAGAATTGATGGCCTTCTACAAGCGGTGTTTCTAGGCGCTCGGCATCCACAACTTGGACATAGAAGACCTTCCGTACATCCACACTCGACAACAAGCGTGCAATAGACTCCTTGACCGCCTGACTTGCGTTGGCGTTGGTTCCTGACGGTGAGGCGGGGTCTGCGTATATCCGTCCAGCAATATTGAACGTGTCCAGGCAGATACCAAAGTTTGGCCTGTCAACGGCCTGGACGATCTCCCAGCTTTGTTCCCAATGATCTACCCGAGTACCCCAGCAGAGCGCCTCGTACACGAACCGGACTGGCGGTTGCTCCTGAAGACCCATGTCTGCCGCCTCCCGAAGATCGGATATAATGAGACTTCGGTCCTCTGACACCTCCGACGCTGGGAGAAAACTGGATGGGATCTGGACAATATCTGTCTCGAGGACTTTGGCTAGTTGAAACCAAAATTTGAGCTTCTCAATGCGCCTGGCATGCTCATCTCGGTCAAGCAAACCCTCGTAATGTGCGAACGGCTGCAGGCATATAATGTCCAGGTTCCTCTCGTGGCACATATTCCGAATGATCTCTGCGGCTTGCAGCTCGTTGGCAGTGCTTGAGCCGCCATCCAAACTATTAGCAACATCGGCCAGATCCTCATGGAAGAGTTCGATGCCATGGTAGCCGTAAGCCCGAGCCATATCGAGCTTGTGGGCTAGGGAATGACCTGCATAGCAGCGCCCTAGTGACATGGAACTTATTCCTAATCTGCAAGTCATCTTGGCTGATGGAGTGGCGTGGGTGTAGAAGGAGTTGAAGTTGAGTGGTGGAAGGCCAGATAGGACCACGCAGCTTTTAGAAGATTACCAGTCTGTGGCAGCCAGATCAGAAGAGGGCGCAGTACAACTAGTACAAGAGGTGTATTGCAAGAACAAAGTAACTAGCCGAGATGGGAGGGTGACCAGACTTTTGAGAGACGCCTATCGGTTGTTACGCTGTTACATTTTCTCGGGGACTTGCGTCTGTGAGACCCAAAATAACGGGTCGGGGGTATCATCCCGATCGTTTCCCGCTGAGCATGGCAGTCTGGCCCGCTCATAAGCGCAACCTCGTGTGATTGCGCGGAAGCAAGCAGTTGCAGGAAAAGCATACACCCTTCAACGTGTTTTGGTTCAAGGATGGGTTTTGCTGTTGTTCACACCATTAGGGGCAGCGAACTTGGACGCTTGGCAGCTGATGTCATGGGTGTGCGGGTAAGGTCAGCGGGACAGGCGGACGGAAGAATACTTACACGGGTCTGGTGTGGGGATACACTCGCAACCTCGGGCTCGCCATCGAGTTGACACAGTCCAAGATAGTGCGAAGATAGTGCGGAAATGGAGCAGTCCACTCTGATTTTGCTGTACACGGTGGCATCTCTCTACTTTGGTCTTCTCAAAGATGCTGACAGAGTAGGCAGTAGAATTAACACTACCAATATAGCAAGATGATAAAGCCGCACACGGTTACGTCCTTGATACAGAATAAATATCTATTGCTCGGACACCCGCACTGCAGCGCTCTGTATGAACATGCTTAGCAATACACATGGTTCATTAGTAGCACCCATCCCATTGCTCGCAGCTAGTACATGGGAGCTTTTAGGTGGTGCCTCTCTTTCGTTTAACCACAAGGCTTTAGCCCCCCCGCTTCCATGAAGTATTGTATCGCTGTGGTGAGATTCAGCTACTGGACTATGGTGTGCATCGCTACATCCTCAGGACAGAACGTTACTGCACTTGGTTGGCGGTGCAAGATTTCACATTTGGGCGAACATTCTAAGCATTGTTTGGATTCCTAGTGGGTATTCTGTATTGATTCTGTATCATATGTGCCGTCAGGGTTCCTGCTCGGTGATATTCTCCAACCGTGGCTGGAGCTGTGATTTGTTGGATTGCCCTTGCTCGTTAGGGTAGGACTTGAAGACCTCCTCTCTCATCAATCTTCGGGGGGCGCGTCGGCCGGTGAACAGCTCGAACTGAGCAAATCCTTGCTCGGGCAGTAGATCCAAACCATCCATGGGGACCCATCCCCGGTGAGACTCAGATCTTACTTGATCCAGTAGAGGGGTGTTCAGATATCTATAAGCAAGCTCAACCACAACTCCTCCAGTCGGGCTTTGCATCCACGACGAGGGCAATGTAAAATTCGGCGCGGGGCAGTCCTTCACATCGTGCGTGGGTATGCAAGAAATGATCATGGTGGGCGCCCGGAACATGTCTGGCCAGGGATCGTCCCGCGAGCGGAGGACATGGAACCTTGTCTCTATTTCGGTGCTCGGACTGAGCAACGGTAGGTCGTCCCGCGCAAGCAGGCGGGTGAAGTGGGACACGAGCTTCTCGGCGTTGGCGGAAGTCCTGTTGAAGATGGCAATATTTTTGACACCCAGTTGCAGCATGGCGTAGACAGCAGCCCTTGCCATACCACCGGCACCGATGACTAGCCCGCTCGAGTTGGGGCGCACGGCGTTCGCAGGGGAGAGGCCCCGCCGGACACAGGCGCGGATGCCCACCCAATCCGTGTTTTCTCCATAGAGCGCTCGTACTGGGCCTGCCCGGTTCCTGAAGTTAAAGAACAGGGCATTGTCAGGAATAGTCCCGTCGGGATTCAGCTGCCTAACCGGAATCAGCGTGTTGACGGCTCCGATGGCCTTCGCATGGCTGCTCAGAGAATGTGTCAAGCTGATGACCTCCACCTTGAAGGGCAACCCGATCGAGGCACCCGCGAAGAGCGGGTCATGGATGAGATCGCGAATGTTGCCGAGCGAGTCTGTGGAGTACGGGCGGTAGACATGGGGTATCCCACATGCTTTCAGGGCGGTGTTATGCATGGCGGGCGACATGCTATACCCGACGTTGGCTCCGACCACGTAGAGCTTCATGGCATCGTTGATGAAGGCCGAATGCAGTGCAGTCGTCGCCTCCAGCGCAGTGATAGCCGGTGGAAGATAGAGGGACGTGTGCGGATCCGGCGGCGCCATCCCAACCAGAGATTCGGGGATGACGGACGTCAGGATCTTGTTGAAGCACTGAGAGTTCCGCCCCTTCTGGCCAGAGTTGAAGGCGATGAGGGGTATGACGGGCTCGCCCAGTTCCTCGGTCGCGTGTCGCAAAAAGTTGATATCAAAGTTGTCTTCTATCTGCTCAGCCGGCCGCACCATCCGCACGAGATCGCACCCATGGTCTCGAGCTTTGCGGTAGTACGAGATCCACGAAGGGTCCCTCCAAGACGGAGCACTGGGCAGTGTAGCGTCGACGGTTGCAATGACCTTGGACTTCTTTTTGGATTCCACTATGTGGGCGAAGACGTCATCTTCGAGCCTGAGATCCAGCCCGATATACTCCGGAGCCAGGCGTAAGCCATGTTGAAGGTGTTCTAGGTACAGCATCTTCTGCGTGTTATCGATGGGTCCCTGGGCAGGCCATGTGATGTTATAGACGATGGGGATCACGACGTTGCGGCGGATATGGCTGAATACCCGACTGATTTGGCTTGCACGCTCCGCGGTGAGGTGGACATTGGATCCCATGTGCGCAAATGCGTCGTCGACCACTATTTCTATTGCGTCTGCCCCAGTTTCCAGATCCTCGATCTGCATACCACCGCCCATCAGTTGGGACAGCGGCACCGACATGGCATACGTGAACTGTCGCTTTTCCGTGGGTATGGACGCAAGCGGGAAGGCCGATTCGATGTACGGGATCGTATCCTTGGGCATGATCAACGCCAGGAACCTCAAGAAATGTCTCTCGGCGCGTTTGAGTGTCAGGTATGGTGCCGGTGATTTCGGCTCGCCGCCATGATCCATCGCGGTCGTCTCAGCCAGGTGCATGTCGTTCACCTGGGACAGCCCTTCCGACACGTTGAAGAACTCGTAATTGCCGCAGGCTCGGAATATGCTCGCTGAATAGTCCAACAGCTGCCTGAACTTGACAGAGTCGGTCACTCTCAAGTAGTCTGCAATGGCCGTCTCATCCCTGACGACATGAATGACCGGATGAGCGGCCGTAAACTCGGCCAGAAGGGTCTGCACCGAGCGTTCCATCCAGGACGACACTATAATGCAGTCCGTCCTGTGTCTGTTCAGGATCATCTCCAATATGCTATACTGGCGGCGGCGATACTCGATGCTGCCGTGTGTTTTCTTGAAGGCGGTGGTCGACAGGCCGGTCGCATCGAAGAAGACCTGCTCTGTGTCCACTACCCGCCGCTTCATGGCAGTGGAAGCGATGATAGCAAGCGTCGACTTGCCAGATCCACGCATGCCAACCAAGACAATAGACGCATCGGGTTCGAAGTGGTTCGGAACCGAGACCTTGACAGCCTTGGTGCGCGGCGAATGGCTCGCAGATCTCGAGTATGCTTGAAGACCATATACTATTAGCCCCTCGTCCCACGGCCAGAAGGTTTCTCTTGATAGACGGAGAGACCGTCGACTTACATTCGATATCCGAGGGATGGTCCGCCATCAGTCTCTGGTGTTCCTGTCGTTTGGTCGGCCCATTGCCGTCTCTCTCCCACAGCTGGTGGCTGCTCAAGCCTCCGTGGCCAGCGGTCATTGCGCCAAAGGGTCGTTTCACGCCTGCAACCGTCGGGGACGCCATCGTTTCGGTACTTCGCGGCCGAGAAGGCAGGTATGGAACCAGATGTTACTGGAGGCGCATTCTGGGTTTCCGGATGTCGGGAGCCGCTGTGATGGAGCGCATCAAAGCCGCAAGGCCAGAACAACCAGGCTTTCGTATCGTTAGGTGTCGAAAGCGTATAGACATTGAATGTACTCCAGCCCGGACCGGAGGTTGAGGCACACCGGTCAGGATTATTGACCAAGTTATGGCTTTCACGAACTGTGCGGAACCACCACCGTCCAAACCTGGATGTAGGTCTCAATGCCGCCTGACGGTCGAACGAGATATGGGCCCAGAAGGCTTGCTGGTCTGGGGATCGACGTTACATCGACCGCCTTGGAAGTTGGGCGGGGTCCTCGGGGTGAGCAACAACGAAGCCTGCCAGAAACTCTCTTAGGGGGAAAACTAGAGTGAACACGGCTAGAAAACTTGCTGTGTAGGGCCGTGTCTAGAGGCAGTGGAGGGGGAAAGCACTTATCCGCCCACCGTGATCTCACCCTCCGCATTTCCCACACCCCAGATTTTCCCCACCCAACCGACGACCAACTTCGAAGCTTGGTAGGCACGCCGAAATTCCGCGAAAGTTGTCCCCATTGTCGACGAGGGATTGCGAAAGATCATCGCACACCCATTGGAACAACATTCTCGGTGCGAGGACAACATGATTTGAGAGTTTTGTTTGGCGGTGTTCTGGCAAGCACAAGTGGTTTGTCGCCCTGTACCCCAGACCGCGATGCTCCAACAACCCGAGGGATACCAGCAGCCCTCAAAATCCCAGTGGTGGACAGAAGCCACTGGCCACGCACGAAACGGCCGCCGGGATATGCGGCGCCCGCCAGGAAGATGAAGCGCCGAGCGAGCAATCCGGACGACGACCACCCCGAAGTTCAGCAGCCCCCCACGGCGCCAAAACGCCAGCGAGTGTCGAGAGCTTGTGACCAGTGCCGCGCGGCGCGGGAGAAGTGTGACGGCATCCAGCCGCTGTGCTTCCCTTGTGCGTCGCAAAATCGCCAATGTAGCTGGAAGGAACCCAAGAAGAAGCGAGGAGTGCAGACCGGGTACATCCGGACTCTGGAGTTGTCTCTCGGCTGGATCTTTGACAAGATCCCGGGCTCGGAGGAAGCTCTCCACGGGCTGCTGACGCACGAGGGCGGCCAGGGCAGAGCACTGCTAGTTGGCAAGGATACGTCTGCCGGAAATCGCTTACATCGGAGATGGAGGAAAAGTACGGTGCACCAAGAGATAGATCGGGTCCTGTCCGGCGGCGATGCTACGTCCTCGAAAGCCGACAGCGCTGCACCGGCGGCGGACGAATCGGACAGCGGCGACGAATCGGAGCAGGTTACCAAACAAGAACCTATAACAGGCCGAGGACCTAGCTTGACCCTCGGGCATCCGCCCGTGGATACCCCGTCGCACGGCGACTATGACAGCAGCGTTTCAAAGGAAGAGAGCCGCCCGCTTGGGACTCTATATAGGCCGGCATCGAATACATATACCCCGTCGCAGGGCACACAACAGACTTTAAAGCTTCCATGGAACTGCTGGAGGCTTCTTGACATCTACTTCTCATACACGCACTGTTGGTTTCCGATCCTGGAGAAGGCTCTGGTCCATAAGACCTGCTGGTCGTATCCGAGCGAGGGCCTCGCGCCGGTGACCTCGGTGCCCGTCTCTGCCTCGTACGCGGAGCTTTGGGCGGCGTTGGCTGTCTCTGCCCACCAAGAAGAAGCAGGCCACCACGATGGTAGTACCCATGGGGAAGCCGAAACGCGGATGAGCCCAGATGAGATATACCAGGTTGCACGGAGCTTGATACCACCTGAGAACGGCGAATTCGAGACACGGCATGTCAACGCAATCTTGCTGCTTGCGCTGGTCAAGATTGGGCGAAAGGAACTCACAGCAGCCTGGATACTGGTTGGTCTGGCCACACGTGTAGCCCTCGATCTGGGGTTACAGTCGCGCTCAGTCGCAGAAGGGAGTCGACGGCCACAACACTCGTACATGGCATGCTTCATTCTTGATACTCTCGTCTCTGCTCGGATTCAGCGGCCGCCGCATCTTCGAGCGGACGATACCCCTCCCGCGATAGCATCTGGCGAAGACGACCAGGACGAATGGGACATATGGGCGCCCTGCGCGGGCTTCGGCACGTTGCGGTCACAGACGACACTATCAAGGAGTCCTGCCCACTCTATGAGTTCTTTTTCCGCACTGTACGGGATCCACCGGGTCCACTCCAAGCTTGTCTTTGGTCGACAACCCGACGGCCAAGGCGAGGAACCATATCTGTCGCAAGTACAGAGGTCGCTTGGCAGCACCGCTCGCCGGCCTTTTAATACATACATCGTGAACGGCGGTGTACCCCCTGGTCAGGTGCCCTCGGTGCATCTTCTGCGGCTCGCTTTCCTCTGCTGCGCAAGCCAGGCACAAGTCTTTACGGACTCGCTACCAGCTTCCGTCCTGCAGTGCGTAGAGGAACACCTGCTGAATTTCGGAAGTGCCATTCCGCCACTTTTTTCTATATATTTGGACCTTCTCCGTCAACAGTACAACCTTGAGCTGGTCAAGGATGAGACGAGAGACCGCTGGAAAAAGGTTGACACGGTCATCGACGCCGTATGGGCATCGCCTGCGATCAAGTCCTTGATCATCCACAAGCCTCCAGATAGAACTGCCTCTTTTCCGCAGCCGGCTTCCAATGTCCTGTTCCACGGTACGACGAACGTACCGACCGTTGTGCAACAGGTACCTACCCCTTCATCCCATTACGATACCCCAGGGGACCAAGCTCCCTCAATCATCAATGGCGACATTTTCCACAATGCAGCAGTCCCAGGAATGTTGAATTTCCCCAGTTCGACACGAGCTGGCCAGCCGATGGGTATACTCAACAATCTTGGTACACCAACCACATCCCAGTTTAACCTTGCCGACATGCCGCCGCAGAACTATTCTGCTCATGCCAGACCTAGCTTTGGCAGCGTTACTTTTGACTACGACTCGATCCTAGACGATATAGCATCGTTGGACCGGGCCGATCGGATGGGCTCGGATCCCCAATTCATGGCCAACTTGGGCTTCGCGCCGGGTAGTGATCTAACTGACCTTCTAGCCCACGAGTACTCTGGCATGCCCTAGCTACTACACATTCTCATACCGAGACGATGTGTGCACTCCAAATCATATTTTAAGATCTCTGCGACTTCGCCAGTTGAGCTGTATAAACTTGGGGCTTAGATAAAGTTGGGCTTCCTGCCTACTTGGCATGGAGAAATATGTGTATGCAACGCGGGACAAGTCGGTGAGCGTGACCGTCCAGGCTCGAATATAGTGGATCATAAGAGTCTGCTGTTTATAGGAAGTAGCATCACTCTATAGCAGCGCAATGGGTCCGAAGGCGACCAAGAGCATGTAGATCATACCACCCTGTAACTCTACTATGCTACACGGGCCTGCCTGTGAGAACTACATGTGACCCCGAAGCTCTGGGATAACGTGATAGAATGCTTACCAGCACTAAATCTGTGGAGTAATAAAAATAAATATTATCCCAAAGCCTGCGGGTTTACTTTTCGAGCAAAGATTAGGATGCAACATGTATAAAACAAGGCTGAGCAGGTGTGCCATGCCACCGGCTCCCTCGGAGAAGTAGTCTATACTCCGCGCATCACAGAGCCGCTAAGTAAACTCTGGCTTTCTCCCTAGTGTGCAGTGATCGACCAGGTTCTGGGAGTTACCGGCAATAACGATAGGACCGTAACGGCTGACGTCATGGAATGATAGAGAGATTCTGTATTGACGAGCAACACAAGATGACATGCAAGGGGCATATTAATAGTCCTTGGCGCTCTTTTTCCCTGCCTATTGCTGCCAATCTATTGTCGGGTGTCGTTTGTGCCTGCTGACACAGCAAATGGCGGGACTGGGGCGAATCCTGTCGCGGCCTACCGCCAAACCATATCGCACCCGTGATTTGAAACGCGAGGATAGACCGTACCTTGATGAAGATGGCAATGTCGGCTTTGCACCGCATGATATCGAGAACCCCCACAACTGGTCAACAGCACGCCGTTGGTATGTAACCTGTGCAGCTGTCCTCCTCGTCGTGAATGCGACATTTGCGTCCTCCTCGCCCTCGGGATGTTTCCCTGTATGTAACCACGTTCTCGGACGCCGTCAGGACCAAGGATCTGAATTACTGACAGCAGTCTCAGGGAATCGCGGAAGAATTCGGTATCTCAGTGGAAGCTGCCGGGCTCACTATTACTCTGTTCCTCCTGGGATATTGTGCTGGACCACTAGTATTTGCACCTTTATCTGAGGTGAGTGCACAGCTTACTTCAAGCTTGCCAAGACACTGAAACGTTACAGTTCTACGGGCGCCGCTGGATCTTCTATTCAACGTTTCTCTTATATATCGCCTTCAACTTCCTGTGTGCTTTCGCCCCGAACTTTGGGAGTTTGCTCGTTGGCCGGTTCCTTACGGGAACTTTCGTCAGCGCACCCCTCAGCAACTCACCAGGTGTTCTTGCTGACCTGTGGGGGCCCGTGGAGCGTGGAAATGCCATGGCCGTGTTCTCTTGTATGGTCTGGGTGGGACCTGCACTTGGCCCTGTTGTGAGTGGACTAGCCCCTGAATATATAAGCAACGGCCAAATGAGTCCGAGAGCCAGGAAGTCACGCGGCCACTCAAATATTTTTTTTTCCCCGGAGAACTGCTAATCGGATTGCTGGCAGGTTGCTGGTTTTCTACAATTGACCAAAGATTGGCGATGGAGCTTCTATGTTTTGTTGTGGATGGGAGCAGGGACCGCTGTAATCATGTTCACGATCCCGGAAACCTTCGGGCCAGCAATCCTCATGAACAAGGCACGACGCATCAGAAAGTTCAAGGTCCCCGGCTACGAGGAGGTCAAGGCACCGGTAGAAGCTTCTGACCGTTCACTCATGACAATCTACAGGACCGCTCTCACGCGACCCTGGATTATTATGTTTGACACCATCTCCTTCCTGGTCGCTATTTATATGTCGATTGTATACACCCTGTTGTACATGCTGTTCTCCATTTACCCCATAGTCTTCCAGCAAAGGCGTGGATGGAACGCCGGGGTTGGAGAGCTGCCCCTGATTGGCACAGGTTGGTATTCCCCTCTCTTCTCACTCCCAGCTACGTTGGTCAAGTTATAGCTGGCCACCTATTGCACTAGCAACTGACTGAGATAAGTTATCGGATCATTCATCGGAGCAGGTATAGTGCTTGTCGACTCCAAGCAAAAGGCGAAGAAGCTACAAAGAGGCCAGCAACTCAGAGCAGAGGACCGCCTTCCACTGGCCATGATTGGCGGTGTTGGTTTCGCAGTGACCATGTTCTGGTTTGCCTGGACTGCGGAGTTCAAGTGTGTCCCCCCTCTAATGTCGCGTGGTGGGTCTCTATACTGATAGAATTGTGCAGTTCCATCCACTGGATCGTACCAACTATTGCCGGAGTGTTCCTGGCTGCATCACTCATGCTCATATTTGTTGGATACCTGAATTATCTGGTTGATGCGTATCTGATGTATGCAGCCTCTGCCATTGCCGCCAATACCATCGCCAGGTCGGCCTGTGGTGCCGCTGCGCCTCTGTTTACAACGTACATGTTCGATGCCCTCGGGGTTGGAGGCGGGGGCTCATTGATTGGAGGCGTTGCAACGGTTCTCGCCGTAATCCCCTTTGTGTTCTACAAGTATGGAGAAGGCATCCGGATGCGTTCAAAATTTGCGCCGACGACGAGGCCAAGACCGGGCGACATCGAGCAGCAGCAGCAGCGTTCCCATCATGTGCCATCAATTAGGAACAGTTCAGAGCTTTCTCCAAACGTGATAGGCGAGTAAGTTTCTATAATTTAGTCACCCCGAAGCTTTCGGGTGACCTGACGGTAACCTATATACTCACCCCAAAGCTTTGAGGTGACCTTATATTATATAATTACTTAGCCCAAGCGCAAGGGAGCCATAGTCTAGGAGCCTTTTTACAGCGGAATATTCGAACTTAGCTGGTCTTGGCTCTCACGACAGCTACTGGTAGTGGCGACTACTAAAGCGCGGCTAATAAGCATGGTCCAATCACCCACGATATATACTTCGTCATTGACTCCGTCATAGAAAAGCATGGCACACAGTAGGCAGAAATATGTTCACACATGCCACTCTCATGATTCTGCACCCGAAAATTACAGTGCATAAGCGAGAGCAACTGTTCCGCACTGTAAGGAGAGACGACCTGAACCTGCATGATGCTACCACTTTCAACGGCTCGCCTCTTCGCCTCCGAGTCCTGGCAGAACTGGGGGGGGGGCACTATGATTACCGGGTCATCTTTCTGTTTGATATAAACTGGCACGCGTTTCTCCCTTGGTCAATTGTACCGGACAATTTCCACTTGGACGCCCCATAGTTCAACAAGAAATATCTATCACTTTTAAAGTGACCCTCAACATGGCACCCTCAGCAGACACCTCTTTTGCTGCGCATGCAGCAGATCAGTTTACCGCCTATAAGGACGATCGCGAGACTAAATCTCAGGATGTCTTGTACTCTACCAGGTTTGTCTCTACTCCTGCCCCGCTGAATCTCCAACATGTTCTGACTTAGATGACATAGCAATGGGGTCCCGATGCCCCATCCTTACGAGACACAACGAGCAGGCGAGAATGGTCCTCTGTTGCTCCAAGACTTCCATCTGATTGACCTTCTATCACACTTTGACCGCGAGCGCATTCCCGAGCGCGTGGTCCATGCCAAAGGGAGTGGCGCGCATGGATTCTTTGAGTGCACCAACCCGATCCCCGATCTTACACAGGCCGACGTCTTCTCTGAGAAGGGAAAGAAGTGCTCGGTAACAGCCCGGTTCTCGACTGTCGGTGGTGAATCGGGGTCGCATGATTGCGCCCGTGACCCTCGTGGCTTTTCAGTCAAGTTCAGAACCGAGGATGGCAATTGGGACATGGTCGCAAACAACACCCCCGTCTTCTTCTTGCGCGATCCAGCCAAGTTCCCTCACTTCATCCACACGCAGAAGAGAGATCCCGCAACACACCTGACGCACGCCGACGACTCAACTATGTTTTGGGACTACCTGTGTAACAATCCAGAGTCAATACACCAGGTCATGATTCTCATGGGCGATCGCGGCATTCCGGACGGTTACCGGTTCATGCATGGCTATTCCGGCCACTCGCTGAAACTGGTCAACAAGTCAGGGGACTGGGTGTATGCCCAGGTTCACTTCAAGTCCCAACAGGGAACCAAGTTCATCACCCAGGAGGATTCAGCGAGCAAGTCCCCAGACTACTCGCAGAAGGACCTTTACGAGGCCATCGAGCGCGGTGATTATCCGAAGTGGGATGTCTCCATCCAGACCATGACACCAAAGCAGGCCGAAGAGGTGTGGGAGACACAGAGAATCAATGTCTTTGACTTGACTCACGTCTGGCCCCAAGGCCAGTTCCCGTTGAGGAAGATCGGCGAGTTCACTCTCAACGAGAACGCTGCCAACTACTTCGCGGAGATCGAGCAGGTGGCATTCAACCCTTCGCACATGCCCCCTGGCATTGAACCCTCGGCCGACCCGGTATTGCAGTCACGACTGTTCTCCTACCCTGACACACACCGCCACCGTATTGGTGTCAACTATCAACAACTGCCTGTCAATGCCCCCCGCTCCGGGTTCAAGATGGGCAATTTCCAGCGCGATGGGCAAATGGCGTTCTACAATCAGGGATCGAGGCCAAACTACTTGAGTTCCATCGAGCCCATTTCGTTTAGACCTCGAACAGTCAACCTGGACAAGGCGCATGGTCACTTCTCCGGCCAGGCCATTGCCTTCATGTCCGAGATTCGGTCCGAAGACTTCAATGCTCCCCGAGCGCTCTGGAAGAAGGTGTTCGACGAGCCTGCCCGCGAGCGGTTCATCAATAATGTCGCAGGGAAGATGGCTATGTGCAAGAAAGAAGAGCTTCTCAAGCGGCAGATTGCTATCTTCCGCGAGGTGGATGGTGATATTGCCACGAGACTGGAGAAGGCAACAGGCATCAAGGGCTACGATGGCATTGCAAACATGCGCTTCAATGGGACGCACAATGGCATGGCCACAGACCCCAAGTTGAAGCATGCCAACGGAATGAACGCCAGCTGCGGGGACAGTATTCCTGGCAGCAACGGCGCGCCTAAGTCTGGCACCCATTTGGCTACGAACGGAACCAACGGGATCAACGGTCATTAGTGTAGATGGTAGAGTAAGCATTTATATTCTCCAACACTCGATATAACAGACGCTGCGTGCCATAAGGTGTACTTTCACTCGCCACAAAGCTTTTGGGTGACTATATTATAATAACTTACTCGCCCCAACGCTTTGGGGGGAGTAAATCCTTTACCCTTTAGTCACCTTAAGCTTTGGGGCGAGTGAGGATTCGTGATTTAGTCACCTCAAAGCTTTTGGGGCAAGTAAGAGGTAAGAAATTTACTCACCCCAAAGCTTTGGGGTGACCTAAAGTTGTACATCTACTCGCCCCAAAGCTTCTACACTGTCTTGTGGCCCCTCGAAACTAACAGTCTGATATGCCTTGCTCCTCATAGCACGAAGAAGGTCTGTATCACGGCGGAGCCCTAGGTTTACCAGGGATGGGAGATGCAACATTCTATTTCCCCTATCCTCTCATCACGAAGATGGCACGAGCGTTGCCATAGGCCAAGTACAATTGTAAGTTAATCAATGAGTGCATTTGAAGAGACTGACTCCTGTCGTCCCCCATCTCAAAGAACATATCTTCTCGGTACCTCATCAGAACTCTGGTCACAGGCTTAAGCTCCGTCGGGACAACGAGACGTTCTCTGAATAAACTCCATGTTGTATCCCTGACGATTCAACCTGACCTCGACCCTTGCGGTGACAGCTTGCTCCATCGATAAGACAGACCCAATCCACTCGCTCAGTTTGAGTTTGCTGCTGAATGTTACAGTGCTTCGCAAGCGAAGACTTGTGACGGTTTTTCTCTGGGCTACAGGGATGCACTGGAGTCGCCATGGAGCGTTCCAGACACAAACCCGGCCACTATCTGGCAAATAACTCATGTGGGCTCAAGACACGTTTGACGCTACTTCATGAAAGATTACGTGAAGGTGTGAGAGATCCTCTTCTGGTCAGCTATAGAGATATCATTGGGTCGAATTTACGTGCACGGCCTATGCCTAGTGTCTTGGCAGCCCACGTCCGTGGAGGCATCGCAAGAAACAGTTCGTTTGCCGATACGAGTTAGGTACTCCGTACGCTGACGATGCGAGTAATCAAGCACCATCTACACCGCACCAACGCGGCTGCCCAGACGGCAGTGGCTGGCGATAACGGTGCCAAGTTTTCCGTGCCTGCTGGGCGCTGGTTTTGCTCTTACGATGCCGAGGCCGCCATGGTCGGAGGATATGAGGCCTTGGGATGCTTGTGTGCGCCACTTCCACTAGACGCTCTTGGCTTGCGTGAGGGGGTTACGATACGCATCTATTTCGCGAAATCCCACACAGCAGCGTCGCCCGACGTTTGGTTTTTGTTTCAATCGGGTTCGATACGCTCTTGAGACGGCCCAAGAAGTCGGAATCACCTCATAAAGATGCTACGAGCTGATATAGTAGTGAAGATACGCAGTCTGCCTTTTGCTGTCCGTCGTACGTCTAAATTATGGGCATCAGTGAACCCGAAAGGCTGGACTCTCCACAGCTAAGCTCCAACCACGTGAGCTGCAGGCGTTCTAGTCCGAGTCAGCGTTACTGTTGCATTCTATCTTGTGCGAATCAAAGAGCTCACTGACCGTTAGTTGTCATGCAGTGATCAAACGGCCAAGCCCCTTGGCATCCGACAATTGGCACGCCAAGCAACAGCCAAGAGGATCAACTTGCACGATGCTGGGAACTATTCGCATTTTGGGCCAAAGGGCCGATAATCCCCCGCATGACAGAGCTGGACACCCTGGGGTCTGGGGTGACTATTGTGGGGGTTACTTGGAGAGCAGGCTAGATGCAACAGCAGAACCGACAGGGTGATACTGGCCAGGAATCGAATCAGATGGTGACGCCAGCAGTCAGCCAGCCTGCTGGTACTGTATGCAGCATGCCGTGTGTATATAAAGAGGTGGCCGGAGGTCACGACATACCGGGCGGGTGTGCAAGTCAGTGACAGCTGAGGAGAAACATTTCTTTGGGACTTTATTCACTGCCCTACCAATCTGCCAGATCCAGATAAGCCGCCGTCCAACATGGCAATGCAAAACGAGCCTGCGGACCCTCTCGCAAAGGGCATCCTCCCGACTGCAAAGCAATCGTGGAGCGATCTGTTCAAGTGGAAACAGAGAGTGGTTGTAATCAACGACCTCGGCGAGACTCACACAGAGTGGCAGTCGCCGCCTCCCTGGAGGAACCCCATCTCCCTGTTCATGTTACTGAGCGCGCGGGACTGGCTGTACTTCCTGGTTGGTCTTTTCGCTTGGACGGCCGATGCTTTCGACTTCCATGCCCTATCAATCCAGCAGTATAAACTATCCAAGTACTACAGCCGCACCAAGACGGAGATCAGCACCGCCATCACCTTGACTCTCCTGCTTCGGTCCGTCGGGGCGGCTGTATTTGGACTACTAGGAGATCGGTTTGGTAGGAAATGGCCCATGGTTGGAAATATGGTCATCCTCGGTATGGTATACCCCCAGGTGCCTCCTCAAGTTCGGCCAAAAGCTGACCACTTCACACCACACAGGCTTGCTGCAGATTGCCACCATTTACAGCGTCACCTTCGAGCAGTTCCTTGCGGTCCGGTCCCTTTTTGGTCTATTCATGGGTGGCGTCTACGGCAACGCTGTTGCCATGGCGCTGGAGAACTGCCCGCTGGACGCGCGAGGCTTGATGAGCGGCATCATGCAGCAGGGGTACTCCCTGGGCTACGTGTTGGCCGCCTGCGCCAACCTTGGAGTCGGTGGTGCAACCGAAACCTGGAAGACAGTCTTCTGGATTGCTGCAGGGCTTTCCATCGCTGCCGGTCTCGCCCGATGCCTGTTCCCCGAATCCAAACAGTTCAGAGAGGCGAAGAAGTCAGGGCACCACATCACGGCCACGGATTTCTGGAAGGAAACCAAGTCCATGCTCGGAACTGAGTGGCGCATGTGCATCTACTGTATCATCCTGATGACCTGGTTCAACTTCTACTCCCACACTAGTCAGGACAGCTACACGACTTTCATGATTGAACAAAAGGAGCTAAACAACGACGCTGCCAGCCGTGCCAGTATCTGGATGAAGGTTGGAGCTTGCGTAGGCGGCACCATCATTGGTAAGGAAGCAGCAGAAACCCCGTACCTATTCCCCCTTGGAGACACGAAAGGCTAACCATGAGACAGGCTATCTTTCGCAATTCGTAGGCAGGCGCCGTGCCATCGTTGTCTCTGCACTCATGAGTTGCTTTCTGATCCCGGCCTGGATCCTGCCAGAGGGAGAGGCATCGTTGTCTGCCTCTGGGTTCTTCATGCAGTTCTTCGTACAGGGAGCATGGGGTGTCATCCCTATCCACCTGAACGAGCTGTCCCCTCCTGCCTATCGTTCCAGCTTCCCTGGTATCACCTATCAGCTGGGTAACATGATCTCGAGTCCTTCGGCGCAGATTGTCAACGCCATTGCGGAATCCCACTTCGTGCGTAACAAGAGCGGGAAGTTGGCCCAGGCATATGGACCGACCATGGGCATTGCAACAGTCATAATTGCGCTTGGCATCGCGGTGACCGCGGCCTTCGGTCCTGAGAAGCGTGGTAGACACTTTGAGAACGCTGGGCCTGCCGGCGCGAACGTCGGGCATCAAGGTGACCTTGAGAAGGCTGTGGATGTCGTCTCTTTGGCGGAGGATCCCAAGGTTGAAGCTACCCACGAGGTCGAACATGTTGGTACAAGAAACGAGCCGCAGGAACCCAAGAAGGAGACTCCGGCTTGATGAGTTGGTGGAGCAGGTTGGCCGTCTAAGCATGGTGAAGCGTTGGCGTACCAAATGCACGGAACCTCCAACAAAAGCGGAAGGAAATAGTCTGTCAGGACGCTTCTATGCAGCCTTATATGTAGATAAGTGGTCAGTCATCTGCAAATCATGTGCTTTACGACGTAAAATTTGTGTTATGACCACCACTTCGTTTAGAAGGTTTGTGTATTGTGGGACTTAAAAAAGGGCCCTCTGTCTTGTTTTACCATACCGTCACTACAGTCCCATGGCCGATAGCAGTTGGATCAAAAACTTATAAACTTATAAACTAACAAACGCACAACGGTTTGGTCGTGATATTCCTTTGGGGACTGTCACAAACGAATCAACAGCTTTGAGCACAGCGGCGGAGAGGCCAGTGAACTGGAGGGCTATAGTTTCTATATCAACACACTAGGACTTAGATGGCGGTATGGATGCTGGCACAGCTTTGTTCTGATACTTTGTTAATAGAATTATTTCTTATGTAAACATTGTCAGTCTCGGGGGATTAGATACAATGACCCTCGCGGCC